CACAAAAGTGGTTATGTTCGATGCAATTTAGTTGTTCACCTTTGTACTTACTTTGTAAGATACAGAAGCATGCGGTTGAAGTTTTTAGATAATACAAGTAATGGAAGAGGTTATAATATGTCTAACAAGAATTCAGGACATATATGAACTACCTTAAAGTTAAAAGACACATTAATTTATTAATATAAAATAATCAAATAAATTAAAACTAAAATCATCCTTCCATATTTCTGTAGTTTTCACGCGATTGTACCTACGGCGGTACGGTACATTAACAGAGCCATACAAAAAGCCTACATTGAATTTAATATAGCCTCTTAAAAGTATTTGCTTCTTGATAGATTTTTGCGATAACGATAACGTAATTTTGATAAATCACCCCTCTAACAGGATGTAGCTTGAACTTTAATATGACTTCGAAGATTTATTTATTAATTTTATTAAATTTAGTTATACCGTAATACATTAGTAATTAATACTCACATAGAGTGAGTATTACGATTTAATAATCTTTAGAATACCTATCCTTACTCCAAAAACCAAAACGATAGTGTTGGAATTTTTTTATGTATATAATAATAACTATATTATGTATACAATGATTATTCTTTCATTCCTTATATTATACAATACCTTATTGGCTCAATTGTACGCATATAGCTTGAGAGAGCTCGGTTTCCAGTGATGAGAAAACATAATGATTCGGTCGGACAGGGCACAGAAGTATCATAAACGACTTGTCTGTAAGCATTCCATTAAACAGACTCAGTCCTCCCTTCCCATACAGAGAAATTTTAATCTACAAAGTTGCTTTAATTAGTTTTCTTTGGCAGTTATAAATTATATGTAAGCCTGAACCAGCAAGGATATAAGTAATATAAAAAAAGAATATAACAATAATTAAAAAAAACAGCATTAGGTGTTTCCAACATCTCAAATAGAAACAAAACACCTCTAATTAGAATTAAAGAAACATAACTATTTTAAAGGATTCCTAAGTTAATAGTCTATCAATAGACTAATACTACAATTAAGCAATATTACAAACATTTTCACCGATGATTATTATGATAGTTACAGCCTAACTATTCTATTAATGAAGGTGTAACTAAATAGTAGAAAATTGTAAAACGTTTCGACCTAGCTTGCACACTTCCGAATCGTGCAGTGCAATTCGTCGGAGTTAAAAAACATTCGCAAGAACACATTGGCACTCGAAGTTGAATACTGACCAACAACATACGAAGGCCATGCAAATGTCAACAGAACCTTTAAACCTGGCCGAAGCCTTACCAGCGATGTTGTAACATGCTCTCATTTACGTACAAATTATCATCTACTTGCTGTCTATGTCTACCTAGTATTACGGTGCAGATTATGAGAACTTAGTAAGGAAGTAAGTTAAGTTAACTAATCATCAAATAAAACACTTTAAACCATTTAAAACACGAACTATATTGGTTATTTTATTCGACTGCTGTAAAGAATCCAAAGTTATTTTAACTACGACCCGACGTTTGTATGCTTTACAGCAGCCGTGGTCATATGTGACCTCGCGTCAAAAGTATTTTTTATATGTCAGTAGCGTCAGCTACTTGTTATGAGTGTTATATTATGTATTTCTTTTTTTATTGATTAATAGAAAGCATGCAATCTGTATACCTTTATAATAAACAAATATGATACATTTAGCCAAAAAAATATTGTAATATTGGCGTCAAGTTATTTTTATGATAGAGAAGGACAGATAAGCATAGGCTTCATTTGATGGAAGGTGAAATATCCCTTATATATACATGTTAGCACTTAACAAGATGCGTCGTGGGCCTATTTTGTGGACCCACAGACTGAAACCGAAACGCGGTTAAAATTTACGGCTACTTTATTTACACAGTGGGCCGTGACGCAGATGGAATTTTCGATATTCTTATCACCCTACTAATACCTGTCATCATGGTTATTGCATTTAATTCAGTCAGACGAAAAGATAATAAATAAACTAAATATTCTCAGATAATGAAGAACTGAAACGGGCTCAAGCCACAAAAAAGAAATAAAATCTTAATTTAATACATAAAATGTACTCGAGACGGCCAAAATATAGATAGCTTCATTTTATTGCGTCTTCCTTCTAGTTTGAAGCCTATAAAACCGCGTTGTCATAAATTCCCAATAAAATGGAGATATACACCATAGCTGGCATGAATTAATGCGATTGTACAAAGATTTATAACACCACCAATTACAATTGCACGATTACATAACTTATTTTAACTCCTTTTGTGTGTTCGCAATAATTACTGCACAATTGCGATTCAATTTGTTATAAAAGAATCATTCTTGTGATGAAATCTGAACGCAAATAGCTCAGAACTTCGCTCTTCCTTGTACGCAAGTTAACAATTAACAATTAATATTACCTCATTGTTTTACATTTTTATATTTTTTTATTACTTTAACCTAGATATTATGTCCACACTCGAAGACAGCACTTATTGTGTATTTTATTATTTCGTCTTTTAATACCAAAAATAGCTAAAGCTAATATTTCCATTAATTACTTTGAAATATCTACCACTGAAAGTCCTTTTCTATTACATTGGGACATTATAATGTCTGTTTCAGTGATCGCTGTTTTACATACAAGTATTTGAGGTTTGTGCCCTCCTCAAATAATGTAGCATTCAACAATGAAGCTACAGAGATTATCACAATCAAAGAAGAAGCTGTGTTAAGAAGAAGAAGATTGTATTTCAGAAATTAATGAGGTATTTAATTTGAATACTCTGTTTTCATTAAAGTATAATTCATTGTTATCAATTGAAGCTAAGTTTGATACTACTGTTAATCCTTTTTATAGTCCATAAAAACAGTTCGGGCTTTGAGGGCGAAATAGTTGGCGTTAGTCCAGATACAATTGTGACGAAGGTGGCAATTAGGGAATGATACCCCGATATTAGCTTTGATGTTGGCAACACTACAAAGGTCAGGGTTCAAAGCGACATTTAGATAATGGTTATTTCACCAGTTTATTTACCGTGGGTGCTTACTCTCCTCTGCCAGAAACGATTAAGGTTGGCTTAATCCAGACACAAGAATTAATCTACATCATAAAATGTATGAGTTGTTACTTTATTTCATTCGAGTAATTAATAATAGGTAGTAACGCAACAAAAGACTGTGTTACAAGGTCGTCAGAGCTTAGATTTGGGTGTCATAAATCAGCGAATTAGTTATTGCCTAACGTGAATTAAAGTACATACTAAGAACAATAATATTTATTATTTCTAAGTTACATCGGCGTCGCTCTTAACAGATAATCTCAGACGGAACTCGAACTCACCACTGTCGACGTTACAAGTCGTTTATCAACTAACGTATTGTTGGATTATATGTATTACGGCAAAAAATAATATAACATTGAGTTCTACAACTGCGTTTAGTTAGTAGCAACAATAATTTTAAATACATTAGGTATATACTTTATAAACATATTATAGTTTGAACTTTATTATGTTCTTAAATAGAAAATCTACGAACCTTATGCCTTACAGTAGCCATCGTCAGTAATATATTTCGAGTTTTAAACTGTGAAAAATGTTTTATTTAATTTGTGACAGTCGCGTGCACTATTAAAATATTGTAACTAGAGTTACAAGCGAATTCGACAATCGTATTAATTATTTACAATGAAAACCAATCCTTCTGTACAACGATTTTGAAAATAAATCAAGAATTTATTTGTTACCCACATAAAAATATATTGAACAAAGCGTAGTCCTTCGACAGGGTTTGTCGCTTACATTTCATGTTTTATTGATGTCGCTCAAGCAGCGCTTTGTATTAAATTTTCATAGCTTTATTATGGGCTTTTGCAGTCTGCGATGTTTTCCTTCAATATGAAAATCATCTTAAAGGCTTTCACGGTCCTAATGGGTAAAGAAAAAAAACATAAATGCGGGATAAAAAAAATACGTTTATAATTTTTAGTGAAGCTGAAATTCACGACTAAGTTAAGTTTTACTTAGTGTAGTAGTTACGATGTAAGTTACAACAACCCAGTTCTGTACAAATGTAATATCTACACATATATCTAATGATAGTCATTCTACACGTTTTAATGAACAGACTAAAATACCTTATATTATGCATGATAGATCGTTTATACGGAATTTTAATTAATTTGATAGTCAGTACCGATTATAAATAGTAATGGAAACTATTTTTAGTACTACCCGTAGTTCACGTGAGTAGTACACATTTATTAAAAAACACTTTTAAAAATTTAAATAAAACACTTTGACGGTTTCAAACGCGATATATATTAGTTACACTTATTAAAACAATATTTTAACTGCGGCCCGACGTTTCGGATGCTTTGCAGCAGCCGTGGTCACGGGAAAACACTTTGACGGTTTAAAACGCGATATATATTAGTTAGACTTATTAAAACAATATTTTAACTGCGGCCCGACGTTTCGGATGCTTTGCAGCAGCCGTGGTCACGGAGAAACACATTTAACGGTTCAAAACGCGAAACGTATATGATATACGTATGTATGCGGTTGCTTTGCCGTGGTCATAGCTTTTGCAAAGCAATCTAAACGTCGAGCCGTAATTAAAGTTGTAAATAAGTTAACAAATACCTTTTGCATTTAAACGCGTTAAAATTGTTTTATTTAACTGTCGCGTAAAGGATTTTTCAATTTGTATGTTAACAATGCTACATGATTTCAATTCATACAGTTCCCAGGGTTAAACAGAAAACACGAAATGGATAACATGGTATTAACCACTTCTCTTTTTTGGCAACATTCATTAAAGTGAGTCAAAGGTAGCGGAGTTTAAGGACAGTACTGGTTTGCCCGTGATGTATGGCTCATTAGCTCTCAGAATAAGGTTAAGATATTGGCTGGATCGATTAATTCAGCAGCCTTATAAAAAGCTTGCGAATTCAACAACATTGTCATTCGATAGCTGTTTTTTGGTAAACACGCAAAATGATATTCAAGGTACGTACAAATGCGCTATTTACTTTACCAGTATAATTACAATCCTTTTCATCGTTGACTAGCTGTGTCAGCGACTTCGTCCGCGTGGAGTCGTTGAATTGGGCATCAAAATATCTTTTTCCAAACCTCCATTATAGATGTTACACGTCGGGCGGAACATCTATAATGTTCGGGTCGACCACGACGGGTCGTTCTTGCAAGTTGATCTTAAAAGCTAGACGTATACTGTCGCGGACTTAATTTAGATCATTTAAAGAGGAATCATTCTTTGAACCATTTTCGTAGCGTACGCAACAAAAATTCACACGTATGAATAATTTTCTCCGTTTTTATCTCACTATTCACGCTGTTTCCTGGCTCCTATAAGTCGTGTCGCAATAAACACAAAAATATTTTTGTAATTCTAACCAGTACTTAGTTCCTGAGATTAGCGCGTTCAAACATACAAACAAACCAACTCTCCAGCTTTAAATATTAGTATAGATTATTTTAACTTCTTCATTATTTAATAGGCTATCTTCGTTGTTACGTGCCTGGCAGTTGTGAACGGTGCCGTCATAGACACCTCGGCGACATCGCTCCCCCCGCTTTCCATCAGCCCATTCGTTCCGAAAACACCAGCACCGATCTACGAAGAAACAGATGCCAATCAGAATGGAGATAAGACTAAGAGAACTCCGCTCTTGAACGAAAAGTTAACCCAGATAGCAAACAACGGAGCTTTCCTCACTCAAACTTATCCCGCTGTTTTCTCTTCCTCGCTCCATGCTCCAGTTTACTATCCTTCAACATATTCTGTCTCTCCTGTGTTGACGAATACGGTTTCAGCACCTGTATATACGCATGGACATGGGGTTCCTATTTTGACCAAGACCTACTCCCCAGTTTTGAGCAAGGCGGCTGAAATCTCAACTTTCTCTCATGCTCCTATCCAAAACCACGCTACAATAACCTATTCTGATGCTCCTCTAGTATCTCATATGACATTTAACGGCCTGGGAACTAATTATGCCTGGTAACTCCTAATTTAGTCATAAAGTTATGGTATGCGCGACTGACTCTTAAATAAGTTTAATTTATTCTCGCTATGTTAAGTGTAAGTTGTTTAAATGCTTGTTATCTGTAGAATAAACTGTTTATAATTATGATTAGAGTTTCCTTTTTAGATTTAATTATGACGAATATTTTAATCGCGGAATTTTAATTATATAATCTCTAATAAAATAAACGTAAGATCGTAAATACTATCTGTAGTTTACGCGAGTAGTACACAGTTTATTTAAATATAAAACACTTTAACGGTTTAAAACGCGATGCTTTGCAAGCCCGATCTCCCGGTGACCACGACAGCTGCAAAGCATCCGAAACGTCGGGCTGTAGTTAAAGTAATTATCAAATAAGTTTAAATAATATATATCGAGTTTTAAACCGTTAAAGTGTTTTATTTGTATGCAACAGTGTAATATAATTCTAAATACTGGCTATATAGATTGACAGCTAATAAACAACGGTTTGTTGTTGACTGTACCGAAACTAGAAATGCTAATACATGTTTTATACGTATGGAGTACTTCTTTGCGAATTTCAATTGCCAAACTAGTTAGAGGTACAAAGGCCTGTAACGACGTAATTACTTAACAGCTTAGTTAGGGAGGTTTGTTCTGATCGTATTGCATTACCCAAACTTGCTAGACTGTCCCAGATAATTTATAAGTGTTTTAATCCCTTTCTAAAGACGTCAAATAGGTTATGTACTTGTTGTTTTTAATATAAACATGGACATACATCTATTGTTATATAAAAATACAAAAAAGCAACAGAACTCAAGAAAGCAAACATTTGTTGAATATATTTTCATATTTTATACAGGATTTGAATTCTGACTCTCTTGAAATAATGATTCCCATTTTAATGATTGAAAAACTGCCTGACTGTATGTCTATCTTTTAAAATTAACCCGCAAGAAGGCGGCGACGGGACGCGGACGACGCGCGTTGAGGCTTTATTTTTAGAATTTTAGAGGTAAAGAGGGGGATATTTTGTTGCTAAAAATAACTATCTACGGAGACACAGCTAGTATACATATATAGAGCAGGTGTCAACTTCGTGTTACCGAATAACATAAAGAAAGAATAAGGCGAACAATATAATTCTATTATTAAAACATCAAAGCCTATTGAATCATCATTACTCAGGCCAGTGATTTAGAAAATTTGACAAGAATTCCTTCGCGTGTTTTCAAATGTAAACATATAAAGCCCATATGCTTCACCGCCTCTATAGCTAAATGTGTTGCCACACTTACCGTTAAGCGAAAGGTCCTGAATTCGAGTCCCGGGGAAACATTAGATTGTTTCGGTCACAGTATACAGAAATCTGATCTACTTGCCTTTAAATAAAAATCAGTGAAACTTATACAGTGTTTGCCCCGTGTGGAGGAATAAAATAAGGAAAAGAGGAAATTAATTTTCAAATTTACAAAAAGTCTAAATACAATTTTAAATAACTTTTACATGTAATTGTTTTAAGTTATTAAAAATTTAAAGATTTTAAATAATAATAAAAATAAACATTTTTCCAGTTAAGTTGCCCCACGATAGTTAGTTACCAATCATGATAATACAGCGAAAGTTATATATTTCGACTTTCGCAAATACCTAAATTTTTAAAGAGGCGAATCAAACCATACAAAATATTATCATTTTTTCTTTGTGTAAACATAGACTTGTATTCTAATACAAATTAATTCGTTGTAAAATTTACCAAACAATGCAAGTATAATTCACGACGATTTTATTAAAGTACAAGGAAAATAAAATAAAATAAATTAAATACAGTATCGGAAGCAATACTAGTGCTATTTCAAAATAACTAAAATGTGTTTAGATCGAGTGTAAAGTAGCTTCCGCTTTTTAATTGGCCGAAGGTCAATAATTTCGTACTTACAACTAATAAATATTCTTCAGGGTCAGCACAGGGTTCTAACGTGACGCCACACGAGCTGTTCACATCGGGGGATGTCCAACTTCAATAGTATATAAGTGCTAGGCCGCAGTTAGAACGTATCATTTACAGTAGTGAATTTAATATAACAAAATGGCAGCTAAGGTACGGGGAGTAATACAATTTACCTTTCTGTCGGATTTGCGCGTTGTGAAAGAGATGTTTCAAATAGAATTGACGATAGAACATTTTTGTTTTTACAATAAAATAACTCATTTTTAGTTATCTCAAAATTGTTGTGCTTACATTTTTTTTGTAAAAGATTACATAAAGTCTGATATTATGAAAGCACTTACGGCCTGAAATGTAAAGAAAAATGCTTTTCCAAATTTAGTTTTGTAATTATAATAATTGAAAATTAAAATTTTATAAATTAAATGTTCATTTTAGATTTTTCATTTAAAAACTTGTAAAATAATTAATCAGTGGATGCCGGTTCAAGTCTCGCCCGTGTCGCCGGTTTTTAATTTAAAATCGATTTTAATTTATATAATACCATTATGTGCAATAATATGTTCAAACGTTCAATTAAAACTGTATTATCTGTTCCACAGTTAATCGTTCTCTTGTGCGCGGTAGCGGCCGCTCGTGCTGGTGGATTATATGGCGCATCTTACGCCGCCCCAGTCGCAACATACGCGTCCGCCCCCGTCGCGTACGCAGCTGCACCAGTGTACAAGAGCTACGCGCCCGCTGCTTACTCCGCATATGCAGCACCCGCATACGCTGCATACTCCGCACCTGTAGTCAAGACCATCGCCCCAGCCGTCTCATCTGTGTCATCATACTCGTCTCACACTTCTCATGGAACCCCATACGTAGCTAAGGCGGTTGCCCCAGTAGCGTACTCCAGCTACGCCGCCCCGTCTGTAGCTTACTCTGCACCTTTAAGCTACGCTGCCCACGCTGCCCCAGTTGCAACTTACGCTGCCCATGCCGCCCCAGTCGCGACTTACGCCGCCCATGCCGCCCCTGTTGCAACTTACGCTGCCCATGCCGCCCCCGTTGCATACGCTCATGGCCCGGTTGCCTACTCCGCCCCAGTCTTGAAATCCGCTGTAGCGTACTCCGCAGCTCCTGCAGTGTCCCATGTTGCGTACAGCGATCTGGCTCACAACTACGGCTGGTGATTAACCATAAATTTCGTCTTTAATTTAACAGTGTGATATTGCTATATTTATTTTTTATACTCGTAATAAATTGTAAATGTAACAACAACTTTTGTCTTTTATTGCACTCATAATATAAGCGAAATGTAGAGCAAAAAGTTGATGTGAAATGGCTGCCAAGAGACAATGACAACATTTAATTAAGTTGACATTTATTGACACTTGACATTTTGGTCAATTTCATAATATTTGAGTAAGAAATTAATTCCAATAATTGCAAGGGACACAACATTTAGCACATGTCTTGGTTCTGAAGCCACAAGAAACTATCAACAAGAAATTAATAGGATACGACTAAACTTAGGTCAAAGTAATTGATAAAATTAACTTTGCGACAGAAAATAGAATTATAATTTTAAAAAAGATTTTTTTAAATAGGCATTGAGGGTATAATTATTGATGATGACAGTATGATCATGACATTAAAATAAATTTTCTCAGAAATGTACAACTATTACAAATAATTTCTTTATTCTCTATTTAGTTAAATCTGATTTTAAAGGCATATCATCAATAGTTTTGGCAATAACGAAACAGTAATCTTATATATTTCTTGACGAGTTAAAAATGAATTTTAAATATTATTAAAAAGTCGCTTTTAATATAAATGTAAATAAACCTTATATAGAGAGATACGATTTCTTTGTACTTATTCTTAGTTATTAACCTTGTTAAATACAAACGTTATGACATAAGTGATCAACGTTTTGACGGCTGCTATTAAATACCTGACATTATTATTAATGTATTCTGGTATGGCAAAATGCTACATATGAAACAAAATATTCTAGTCAGCTCGTTAGTTACCATTGTCGCAAAATTGTGGCTATAGAGAGAATAGAAGGTATTAAAAAATAAAGCATAATGAAATGTATTGTATCATTTGATCTAATGTATGGTACATTCCACCTATCTATGTCCCACAGCTGGGCAAACAACTCTCATAAGTGACAGTGTTTAAGAGCTTAAACCCGCTGCTTAGAGCTGCTACTGTTGGGTCTACAGCAAATACGTTAGTGATGATGAAACAAAATTATGGCCGTTCGTTTATAGAACTAAATGCACTGTTTACTATTTATCAATCGAGTACAATCAAAATAAATGTAACTAAGCTTAAATAGGAAATAAACTTCTTCGTTCCCATAGTGTAGTATTTTAAATTATTATGTTCATGCCTTCAGAAGAAAAAATCTAATAGTGTGAACATTTTTTCGTTCGTCGTTTTAAAATCCTTCGTTCATTAATGAGAGAAATGAATTTTAGCAAAGTGTGCCACAAAAGTACTGACATAAGTGGAACACTGATTTTATATTATGAAAATTCTGTTGAGTTCGCTATTTTGAAAAAAAGAAGTCCTTATATGTAGTACAATATTATTTGAATATGAGTTCTATTTTCCCTGGAGAACATAAAGCCCATCTTTGTTAATTATTAAGGTTGACCCCTGGTAGTTATTCGGTCTCTTAAAGTCCACCCAGTTCACACCAACACACAACCAGACTCAATACACACAGTTATAATTTAAAGTAACAAAATAGATACATTGTGAAATTAGTTAAACTAGTTTGAAAGGTATTTTAACTATGGCCCGACGTTTCGGATGCTTCGCGGCAGTCGTGGTCACGGGGAGACAAACGTCGGGCCGTAGTCTAATATAAAAATAAGTTTCACTAATATATATCACGTTTTAAACCGTCAAAGTGTTTTATTTAAATTTGTACTCGCGTAAACTACTGACAGTATTAGATACGTTGTGAATTTAGCAATACCTATGACTTTATCCTAACCTTGTGTGTTCTCTAGTACTAATATTATAACATCGCCGGAAATTTATAATATCCTGCTATTCCAACTTATTAGCATAACTTGTCGCAAACTGTACGTCTCTTTGATGGCTTTTAACTTGAAGCTTATTAATTCAACATAGATAAATTAATTAACTACCGCCGTAGTTACCGAGGCTCGTATTTTTCGGGAGGAAGAAATGTATGAAATCTTTCAAATCATTCTTTTAAAAATGGTTCCCAAATAATATTTGTTAATAAACCACACCTAACTAAAACATCGAGATAGATAGTTTAAATTGAAATATTTAATTAATTTTAATTACGGCCGGACGTTTCGGATTCGTAGTTAAAGCAAATTTTGAATAAGTTAACTAATACATTTCGCGTTTTAAGCTGTTAAAACTGTATTTTTCTTAATGTATACGACTCGCGTAAGCTACAGACAATATGTATGTAGTTATTTTGCTTTCTAATAATGTACCACTGTTACAAATGATTCTAAAAAAATGTTTCTTGCATTACAATTTTATTCAGTGTTCTTAATTACGTTTAAACTAATACATAAAACTCTCACTATACTTTTACGCTACGTACACACTCACAGTAAGTTAGTTTAGTACTAATAGTAGTTACTTTTTGTCCAAAATATCGTATACACATAATTAGAATCAGAAGAGGAATCAAAATGCACTTAAAATAAGGGCTGGAACCTATTTAATAAAGTTTTATAAGCATCTCAAAGAGGACGGTTCATTAAATTAAAAACTACTATTAACGACTTCTATAAGCCACCGTAATTACCGTTTTCCGATGTTTCTCGGTATCTATTAATTAATCTTACGGTTTTGGACCGAGATCGACCTTGACATTGAGGCAGTTAGCTCGCGGCGATGAGTCCACTGCCATACCAGTTTTCACTGTCCATATAAAAGCACCAGTCACCGATCAAAAAAACATTCCAACAACGAAAGCAGAACCATCAACCATGTACTCAAAGGTACATTATTCTGTGACAATATTGATATTAAAAATAATTTACAAAGAGATCGTTTAATAAAACGTGTAACGACTGTTTTTTGTTAAACTGTTATTTGTTAAATTTAATAATTAACTTTATTAAATTAATTTAATTTAAAATTTAAAATAAAATAACTGCTTAAATTATATTATTGTTAACTTTCAGGTCGTAATCTTCTTATGCGCTGCAGGCATCGCGTCTGCCGGCAACTTACTTCATGCTGCACCACTCGCTTACAGCGCGCCAGTATCCTCCGTGTCTTACTCGTCCCAAAGCACAGCTCACGGCACACCAGCAGTTGCCTACTCTAGCCCACTTGTGGCTAAAACCTACGCCTCTCCCGCTGTAGCGACTTACGCAGCACCAGCCTACACAACATACCATGCCGCTGCCGCTCCCGCCGTATACGCTGCCGCTCCAGCTTACTCCACCTACCATACCGCTCCAGTAGCCACCGTCACCAAGACCTTATCGCCAGCTGTATCTTACTCTTCTGTCTCCCACTCCAAGACCGTGTCTGCTCCCGCAGTCGCTACATACGCAGCTGCTCCCGCTGTATACGCTGCCGCTCCAGCTGTTACCACCTACCACGCCGCCCCCGTTGTTGCTAAGACCATCGCTGCCCCCGCAGTGTACGCTTCTGCCCCTGTCTACCACGCTGCGTCAGTCGCTGCACCCGCAGTCGCTTACCACTCAGCGCCGGTCGTAAAATCAGCCATCACTTACTCAGCCGCCCCAGCGGTATCCCACGTCTCCTACGCTGGTCTTGGCGCTAGCTACGGCTGGTGATCAACCAAAGATGTACAGATATAATTATGTAATAGATATTGTAATTTATTATCTATATGTAAATTGTCAAGTTCAAAGAATAAAATTTATATAACATAATATTTTTGCCTTTATGTTTATCGTGTCATCGATACTTAAATATACATATGTATAATACCATAAGTGACAGGTTCCTATCACATAAATTATTAATAATCTTTCAAGCATGATTGGTTCATAGTGATAGGGCAGTTTTGTTATCTTAATCGTAATTTAAATCAGTATACTAGAGTTGTAGTTGTGTCTTAGCCGTCTTGTTTAACTGTACAATTACTTCCACCTTCATGCCTCAGTTCGAAATCCTTGATCCTATAAAAAGTTCATGGACCACAGGCATTGTATTGCAATGTAACACAATTGAGCGCCAACAAGAACGGGAAACTAAGAACCAAACAACGCAAAGAAAAAAGGAAAACAATAATTATAATAACAGAAAAAGAAAATATGCAGTACTCTTTCTTTTCTTACTAAGAATAATACTAAATAAGTAGGTAAAATAAAATAAAATTATTATTTTTGTTGAACTAAAAAGAAGAATAAGAAAGCAAAACGACATTATTATTTAAGATCATAATGTTTAAAAATCGAAAATAAATTGAAAAAAATTCGACTCGGGCAGGACTTGAACCGGCATCGTCAGCTTTCCGTGCTGTTGCTCTGAGCAACGCACTATGCCTTCATGTGCAATAACATGTGAAAAATATTAATGTTTTCAAAATCATAATGTTTATTGATTTCCTAGAGTGTGCTAGGTTTATTAATCGTAGCTAAGTAATACTCCAAAAAAAAAATTACTTTGCAAAAAGTAATCCAAATTTTGTTAAATAGAACTTATTCTATAAATATTTTTACTATCAATTTGGAAATATATAATACATACCTATAAATATACATACGGGTCGAATTGAAAACCTAATTTTTTGAAGTGAATTGCACGATGGAAAGGGTTTTATTTAGACTGATTGGTCTACTTAGAAAGTAGTAGTAGTTAGTATTTCCAAATGGGTAGTACAAATATTTTTTAAATAAGTTCTATTTAACAAAACCAAATTTTGTATTAGTTTTTGCAAAGGAAATTTATTTTTTCTTTTTGATGATATTACTTAACTTCGATTAATAAACCTAGCACACACTTTAAGAACTTAAAACACATCCAATACCAATAACATAGATTATAAATAAAAAAACCGGTGATATTGGCAGTACTCCAGCCTCCAATCTATAACTATTTTCAGTCTAAAGTACACTTTTAATATAATAGGCATATACGGAATATAAAGTTACAATGTAAATTCCCCAAACCACTTATTGTAAAAAAGTTGCAAATTTCTTACATTTAACAACAAGGTAATAATAACCTGCTCTCAGAAGCCCGGCAAGTTCATTGAAAAATACCACACTAAAAAAACTACTTTTAACGGTTTAAAACGCGAAATGAAACTTATTTCTAATCTATTTTCCTTGTGGAGTTTTTAATAAAAGTTAATATATTTCGCATTATAAACCTTTAATAGTGTTTTGTTTAAATGTCCACGACTTGCATAAACTACAGACAATAATATGTAATTCAGTCGAGCTACGAACCACTAAGACCAACGAGGCAGTTAGTGAGTACTTGCTTATGTTTAGATTAAAAACCTAACATCAAGCTTGAGAAACAGTTAAAGATCTAATAGTGACACATCAATCAAGGTTTAGGCAAACATAAATAACAATTAGTGATTACCATGTAATAAATGCAAACCATATTACGAAACGGACCGGTGGCCTGACTTTTAGCTGGTGATCCACCTTGACATTGAACAGGCCCAGAGGCGATGAGCTTGGTAACTGGTATGATTTGATATTGTGGGTATATAAGCTACTGCATTGGCATCTAAAATTATTCCATCGACAACATCGGATCACATTACCATGTACACCAAGGTGTGTTACGCGATACTATTTAATATTAAGGTGTTGGAAGTGCTTTCGCCACAATATCTTGCTCAAACGTTCGACAGGATTCGAAATAAACGTGTCTAGTGGAAGTTGAAAAATGTTTAAAGAGTATTAATAAATCTATTTAGATTGAAAAATATATACGACCCGAGTGGAATTTGAACCGGCATCCCCAACAGCTCTAACTAATTGAGCTAACGTGTCCTACACGTAGTCGTCGAATTTTTTAAACCTATTGGTACTTGATTTGAAGCTGTCTACTTTGTTTTTATACTGAAAAAATTTCCTTTGACAATTTGTTATCTATCTAGTAAATTTCAATAAGAAAATCAACAACATGATAAATAACTCCTTATCGACATAATATTAACGTTACGTTTCTTTTGCAGGTCTTAATCTTCTTGTGCGCTGCAGGCATTGCCTCCGCCGGCAACTTACTGCACGCAGCTCCACTTACCTACAGTGCACCCGTTTCATCTGTATCTTATTCATCCCAGACGACAGCCCACGCTGCCCCAGTAGTAGCTAAAACATACGCAACATACGCTGCCCCAGCCGTTGCTTACCAAGCTGCCCCCGCGTACACAACCTACAGTACCGCACCAGCCTACTCAACATACCATGCTGCTCCCGTAGCTGCTGTCAAAACTTTATCTCCGGCAGTATCTTACTCATCTGTGTCTCAGTCTAAGACTGTCTCCGCTCCCGCTGTAGCGACCTACGCCGCTGCTGCTCCCGCCGTTTACGCTGCCGCTCCAGCTTACTCCACCTACCATGCCGCTCCAGTAACCACCGTCAGCAAGACCTTATCGCCAGCTGTATCTTTCTCTTCAGTCTCTCACTCCAAGACCGTGTCCGCACCTGCAGTCGCTACATACGCAGCTGCTCCCGCTGTATACGCTGCCGCTCCCGCTGTTACCACCTACCACGCCGCCCCCGTTGTTGCTAAGACCATCGCTGCCCCTGCAGTGTACGCTTCCGCCCCTGTCTACCACGCTGCTGCAGTTGCTGCGCCCGCTGTTGCTTACCACTCAGCACCAGTCGTCAAATCAGCCATCACTTACTCAGCCGCCCCAGCTGTATCCCACGTCTCCTACGCTGGTCTTGGTGCTAGCTACGGCTGGTAAATATAATATTACAAAGTTAATATAATTAGCCTACGATGACGCAATGTTTTTGTTATTTATTTAAAATGTACAAAGAAGTGTTGTTGGTTTTAATTGAGAATACCAACCGTAAATAAAAATAATGATGGTTCGTAAGTTTGTTGTTTTTATTCCCTTTTTACGTAGAGCCAATTATAATAATAATTCGTTTATTAACACAAAGTACAAAACTTACAACTAAAACGAGTAATAAAAAAAACGTATAATTAAAACAATGAAAAAAAAAGTATATTTAACTTTGTGCTAAAAGACATCAGACTCAGCTTGTGCTCACCAACGCTTGCTTAGCGCTCTTTCAGTCTGTCCCTTATCAGATAACAAGTCGTACCAAACACTTATTAAACATTGTGGAAAAGTTGGAAGGAACTTAAACAATTATAATTATGATATATTTCAATGGGAGAAAAATAAAGAGAATAGAAAATATAATGTCGTTGGTATTTAGTTGAGCTAATTTGGAATTTTATTAATATATACCTTTTTTTTACGTACTTTCAAACGAGTCTAAAATATACTTATTATATACTGCTTATACGAATGTTTGTCAATGCCTAAAAACTCAGTATGAAAGTTCTTTTTCATAATCATACTCAAAATATAATTAGGCGCTAAAGCAATGCAATGAAGCAATGAACATGCTTTTAGAAAATGTGAGTAAAAGTGTAAAATTATTTATGTTTCACCGGGATCCGATTCACTGGAACTGTAGCGGTTATCGCAGTCTGAACCAACGCATTCACAACTTGGCTTAGTTGTAAATGCGTTAAGAATCTGAAGTTTGCCGATAATTATGGCATAGGTGCTTCTGAATGTAGAACACGATTAAATTTTTTTTTATCCCAAATATCAAACTTGCTTAAATATTTTTTTCCAAACGAAACAACTGTACCCTACCTAAAATACAATATAGAAAACAGTTATGAAACGGTATGCCTCCGCTTTTTTCTTGCAGAAACTCCACTTGCACTCCATACACACTCACTCCTTATTTTTAACCTGGCTCTGCCAGCGACTTCGTTCGCGAGGATCGTTATTTTGGACATCTAAATTCAATTTTTTCATCATTATATACTTAAGCTGTTACCCACGACGTCGGTCGCGTCCCTTCCCGTCGTTCTTGCAAATTAATCTTAGAAGATAGACACATAGCGTCGCGTACCTTTTTTTTATCATTTAAAGATAAATCATCTCATATACATATTTTTTGGGTATCTTGATCCGTTTTTTCAGCGTACGCCCCGAAAACCCATAATGATGAAAAATTTTCCCAAAATGTTTCACATTTCCCGCTGTATCTTCGCTTGTATTAGTCACAGGGCAATGCTTTATAGCCTTTCTCGATAAATACTCTAACCAACACAAAAAACTTCAATTCTAACGCATAGTTCCTGAGATTAACGCGTTCAAACAAACAAACTCTTCTGCTTTATATTATATTAGTATAGATAGCATTTCTTTTACTTTTAACTTAAATAGTATTAACGTCCATACGTATACTCAGTTGTTAAGTAACTAAGGCCACTTAAGAATATTTTGTTTTGTTTTTTTTTTTCTTTTAATTCAACTTAGTTAATCAACTTATTAATAAAACAACATTATTACAGGTAATATATGTATTTTAAGCCTGTGCATTCTCAGATTCTGTGTATTCTATAATTTCTTATTTATGCTTTATTATTCGGTATACAAACAAATATACTACTATACAATATATTATTTTTATTTAATAAATGTGTCACTAGTTATAAACAAGAAAAGACTTGTCGCGCACTATAGAGGATGGAAATCTTTTGTAAAAAATATTTAGGTACAGATGAGTATTGGATAATTTGTTTTTTTATAAGATATTTATCATTTTAATTTTTATTTATTAATTCCTTCCTCGCATGTGTTTGAAATTACCAAAGCATTTGCTCCATTCTTCTTAAGTAGGAGAATTGTGCTACTCCAAAAACTATTAAATAAAATTGTTCGTGCTTGAGACAAAATAAAGCTTTATAAACTTTACCATAGTTATTCTATCTCTTAATTCACTGTGTGTTTTCTATGACTACGTGTCATGTATGTAAAAGTTAAAACAACAATGGCGCCGTCGTCATTTGTAGTCTTTTGTCAAGCGAGATTTGTTGGCGCCAAGAGTTTTGTTCCCCGCAATTCTGCTTTAACACATCCTTTCTCTTTATTTTAAAAGGAGGAAGTTACTTCCGGGCCTCAATTGTTTACACTATGGCTCATAGCCACATTTCCAAACTGCATTCCTGATATAGCATTCGCCCAAACTGTTTTACAAACCGTCGCAAAAATATTTTTTGCTTTAAGAATAATAAATAAGCAGTTATTTTAATTCGAGTCAGAAAAACATTTTTGTAGACACTACAGATCTATATTTATCTAATCAGATTAATTAGCAATGATCTGATATATATCAGGCCACACAATGCTTAATATTTTTTTCATTCATTTATTGCGAATCAAATTAACAGTAAACTTAGATAAAGGAGTAAATTGAAATGACTTTATAGGCTTTAATTTCAATTTTCATTTATTTTAAAAACATCGTTTCTCTTTACAAATATACAGTCAATATTTTACATTACGTTCTAGTGATTAGATGATTATGTACACAACAAAATGCTTTGGTTTACCAACCGTGAGCTCCCAAACCGCCGTAGGCTACAGCTGGTGCAGCGTATGAGTAGGATGGGGCAGCGTATGCGGAGTAAGCCGGGGCAGCAGCGTACGATGCGTAGGCGGGAGCGGCATAAGTAGCTACTGGAGCAGTGTGAGTTGCCACAGAAGAGTAAGATACAGAAGGCGCGGCAATACGGGCAACAGGTGCAGCATACGCAGCGAGCGCTGGTGCAGCATAAGTCCTAGCTACTACAGGTGCGGCGGCAGCGTATGTTCTAGTCACAAGGGGAGCAGCAGCGGCATACGATCTCGCGTAAACTGGAGCTGCGTAAGCCCTAGCAATGGGAGCAGCGTAAGTTCTGGCAACAACTGGAGCAGCCGCAGCGTAAACTGGTGCTGCGTGAGTTGACTGTACCGATTGGTATGAAACACTGGGTGCGGAGTATGCGACGGCAGGTGCGGAGTAAGCTACGGCTGGGGCGGCGTAGGATCTGGCGTATGTAGCGACAGGTGCAGCGTAGGATGCTACTGGAGCAGCAGCGTATGTAGCGACGGGCGCTGCGGCATATGCTGCTACAGGTGCACCGTGAGATGTTGTGGTAGTAGAGTAGGACACTGAAGTTGCTGGGGCGCTGTATGCGATTGCTGGAGCCCCGTGCAATAGGTTACCAGCGGACGCAATACCCGCAGCGCAAAGGAAGATGATGACCTACAAAAAGTAAAACAAATTAATAAAAAATATATATTTTTTTAATAATAACACTTCAATTATATACCTTGGAATACATGTTTGTGTCGAGTTAGTTTTACTTTGTGACTTCAAAAGCACATGCAACCACTTATATACCATTCTAAAGAAACTGGTATCCAATCCTGTGATAAGTTTTGTGCAATGTATGGTGCGAGTGTTGATATAGAAAAATAATAGCTGGCATCATGCAATAAGGGCCACTTTGCCCAGTGTCTTTACAATTCTTTGATTAGATCCTGTCGTACAAAGTGTAACAATGTCAGGGCAAAGCTACACCCAATCTCCTATTAATATGTGTACTAGTTAGTAGTTACTACTATATTGGAATAACGCTTATAGACGCGGGCTAAGATACAAGCATTTGAATTACTAATACAAGTCGTGCCCTATTTTGTTTGAAATATATTGTGAAAATGTTGCTTTTTGTTATTTGTTTTCGGTTTTTATAAAATAGCTCTTAGTAAAAAAACGGGAAAAAATATTCGACATATCCTGGTTATCATAACAGGACATTGCCGTCTAAACAGACATACCCTGAGTGCAAAAATGCATCTGTTTACTCAATTAATGCTTTCCATTCATAAAATTACGGAAATAAACATATGTGAACTGACAAAATAAAAGAAGATAATATCGAAGAATTAAACATGGAACAAATTTTACTGTTCTCTAAGATAACCCTAAGTCCTCTATAGGCGAAAGTGGGGAAATGGGTGAAATAGTCAGCAGATAGTGTGGACTGATCACTCGGCCTTATAACGGTGTCCCCAGTAGAAAATTATAAAAAATAGTGTAAAAGATCGATAATTTTGATAAAATTGTACATAATATACTCTGTAGGTATTATGAAATTCTAGCGCCACTAACAACATTAACAAAACGTAATTCCTAAAACCAATTGCATCAGACAGAAAAGCAAAGGCTTAATTAAATACCTTTCCTACGCGAAGCTAGTTTTTATGGTCAAAATGACGAGTGTATATTTTATTTAGGTTACTAATATAATTTTAAAATGATAAAAAAAATATATACGTAGGACACAAAATGAATGCTGTGTAGGTTTAAAACGAGAGTAAACCATTTAATTGATCTTGCATTTTAAACTGTGAACGTGTATTTTTTAAATTAAATACTTACTCTTTTTAAAATACTCAATACACAGCATCTTGGTTGTAACATCTTTTTGGGAGTAATACCGAAAATTCTGGCCTGGTTAAATTGTGTCTGTGGCACAATGGCAAACATATTTATGTATCAGTGAACAGGCTGGTATCTAATCGGAGTTAAGAGCCCTGTCCGAGCGAAACAAATTTGTCTTTTCTCAAGATTTAACTAAGAAGCGAAAAAAAATACAATTTTTTTTAAATATCGAACAAAACATCTAGACAACGTTTTTTTTTGTCGGTTGTCGACTGCAAATTGTACAAGTCAGTTTACAAAAAGAAATAAAATCGTATACTATCGTAAAAAAGCACGCATGACCCTAGGAGTCACTATAATAATATGATTTTATCTACCAAATGGAAAATATATTCGCCGTGGGACTTGACTGAGCTTACATGTCGTCACTATGCTATCAATATGATTTATGTATAAGAAGACGAACACGTGTATTAAAAAAACACATAATATTTACAAAATGTGATCAAAACAGTTACTGACACTATTGTTTCAGTTTCAACTTGTAATTGTCTGAATAGAAATTATATTTTTCTACCTTAATCGGAAAATTCTAACTATCTAACGAGGTTGTATATAAAACTGACTCCATTGCTGATAGTAGCTGCAATACTAAGCGTAAATAGAATATCAAAGCCCTCAGGCACTTAATACATAATTGCAACCGCACACCCGGCGATCTAGCAATCCGACATTTATCCAAACGTTTTGGACACATTTGTTATTCTATAATAATCAGCTAATTGCTGTGGTGAACTAAATAAGTATAAATGAGATATAATTTAACTGCTTTAGCGTGTCTGTTAAGTAGTTTCCACGGCTGGGACTAGCTGTATTAGTTTAGTCTGGTAGGTAGAGACCTACCAGACTAAACTAATACAGATTTCGGAGCGAAGAGACTGCATTTTGTCACTATCTAAGGAATAAGGGGATCAAGAAATAGATAAACAAAACATATGTTCCCAAAAAGTTTTTATTTATATTCTTATAGAGACTAGATAATCATCGGAACAAAAATAATTTTAAATATTTAAATAATAAATCGTTTTATATTAAACGATCTGCCTTTTGCGAAAATTCTTATATGTACTGTCAACGTTTCTTTTGTATTGGCCTTTACCAGCCATAGTTAGAGCCGTGGGCGCTATACGAAAGGTGGGACACGGGAGCTGAGTAGGATCTGATGACTGGACCTGTTCCATAGCCTGTGTATCCATGTGAAGCGTATGAGGAGATTCCGGTAGAGTAGCTCCGACCGTAGGATGAAATAGGAGCGACATATCGTGAACGTGTGACGGTAATCGGATAAGAGTATGATCGAATGGCACCAGAGTAGGCCAGGGAAGGTGCGATGCTGTGGCTGCCGTAGGACAAGTATCCACCGTGGGCAACCCCCACAATGCAAACGGCGACGATCAACTGTAAGTAATAGGAATTTCATACTTTAATCCATTCTAGCAACTAAACAATTATTATAATATTATACTAGTAATGTAGATTCAGATATAAATCGGGTCGAATGTTGATATTACCGACAAAAGTGTAAAATTGAATACGTATTTTTTTTAATAAAACACTTTAATGGTTTAAAACGCGATATATATATTAGTGAGGGAGACCTCTTCCCAAGTTTAAATTGTATATTTTTAATACTTTGGAATGGAATTTGAAATTGCGCAGGGAACGCATGTATTAAGTTGAAATTCGATGACGTCTAGGACACGGTAGCTCAATTGGTTAGAGCAACGGAACGCTGTGAATGCCGGTTCAAGTCCCGCCCGCATCGTATTTTTTTGGTATAGTTTAAAAATAATTTTGCATGAGTTGCTTTATCAGTAGTAACATACTATCATATAAATGGTACAATACAAATTCATTTATAATATACAGTCTTCTTTTCCTCCTTCGTACGTCTTGGTGCGACTTAAGTTTTTTTTCCATTACAAAAAGTGTACAAGTCTATAAAAAAAATCACATCCATAAATTTAATAAATTTCAGTAAATATGGAAAAATATATTTCGGGATTTTTTTTTTGTTGTTTGTACTCACCTTAGCGTACATTGTTTCACTTTTGTTACTGTTAACTGTTTAATTTAATAAAAGCTCACTTGCTTTATATAAAAAATGTTGAGAAGTGGTCCTAAACCACTTTCATTGTTAAGGTAAGCGAGGGTAAAATGCGATCGTTTTGGTGTTTTACTTTCACATGGCCTTTTTTCTTATCAATATCTGAAGGTTTGCTAATTTATTATTAAATATATTGAATTAATATAAAGAAAAATGCTACTTTAAATAACTTATTTAATGATAGCTACGAAAAGTCCCCTGTTTTCAAAGTTTTTACATATTTCGTTTCCTTACCGTGTCGTAATCGAGTCTAGTGGTCATGAGTTCGAGTCCTACACAAATAAGTAAAGAAATTGTAGTAAACATATAAGTTATATTATTATTTGAGTGTTTATATGTGTTTAAATAAAACACTTTAACGGTTTAAATGCGATATATTGGTTAAACTTATTTTTTAACTTAAATATATCGCGTTTTAAACCGTTAAAGTGTTTTATTTAAATGTGTACTACTCGCGTAAACTATAGACAGTGTTTATATGTGTTGCGATCTGGTGTTGTTGCTTCAACCGGCAACAATGTTAGATCAATATTAGCTCTAATGTACATTAATATGAAAAGATATAACCTACACACAATGAAGATTAGTGTTGCCCATAATTTGTTTTCTTAATTTTGAGGAGGTAAGCTTCAAGTTCACTTGATGGTAGGTAAAATACCCCAGCCATATAACATCTAAACATATGCTGTCAACCTATTTTGGCGTTGGATATTTGTAAGTAAGGCATGGTGATTTGTCCTGCAACTGCGAACGCATCTCCGTTTTACTGGTCCATTTTATTTACAGCTAAAAGTTAATCATTTACTAGGCTTTGATTACATTTTAGTTTTTACTTAATTTGTATAGTCTCTTACCACACAGGACCTGAGAAGAAATTACTCTCAAATTTTGTAATCCCTCAATCTAACTTAATTGAAAGTTTTAACTCTCTTTATAGGTAGAGTTTTTACCGAGTTATTATACAACACTAAAATAAGCAAATCGATTTAGCCATTTGGTGTCCACTGCTGGCCTCCCCCATAGACTTCCGGTATAAGTAAGTAAACACAAAGAAATCAGAAAAGTTTTAGATAAGCTCTTATAGGGAAATATGATAATAAAATTAAATTACAAAGCAAAGCTACTTGTTAAAATGTATCAATACAATATACGAATATATAATATTATCCAGTTTTTAGAAACTAATTCAAATTCAACCAACAAATACACAATGTTTTCAATGGCTTGCCATTTAACTAGTACATATATCATTTCGCAATTAGGAAATGTGTATGTGGACCAACACATTTATTCCAAATCGGGCACAGTAACTTACATTAAATTTGGCTTTGTATAACTTATTCAAAATACTTATAACACTGAGTTATATGCTCTACATTTTAGTGTGTTAACAAATAAGTACACAACTATATTATATGCAATGGTGATTTTAAAACTGAAACAACGTAACGTACAACGTACGTAAAGTGAGATCAAGACAAAGAATATAATATAATTTCTGACAAAAAATAATAAAATTCTGTTTGTAGTTTACGCGAGTAGTATACATCTAAATAGACGGTTTAAAACGCGATATATATTAGTTATTTCGAAATTATTTTAGTTAGGCCCGACGTTTCGGATGCTTTGTAGCGTGACCTCGTGATATCACGGTTTTAACCGTAAAGAATAATACGTTCAAATTGTTCACTAAAAAAAAACAACAATTCATTCGCATTCAGAAATGAATTAACAAATAGTTTTATAACTTAATTTTGAAGTGGTGTGGTGGTGGTTCTTGAAACATTTACTTGGCGTTACTCTATTACTGACATACATTAGCCCAATTGAATAAAAATTATAATCACTATAAATACGTAAGCTGTTGCATCAAAGAAAAATCGCACATTACTACTGTAAAGCCAAATTAATTTATCGATTATGTATACATACGTATGTACACATATACAACTTAGTAATTAAGATATAATAACATTTATAATACCTACATAACTAATTACAAAAGTAACTTAGAAAAACATTTGTCCGCATAATTGAAACTAGACAACGTCAAATAAATTCGAATTCAAAGCAGAAATATTCACCAAAAAACGAATGCTTCAAAGTTTTCATGGCGTGGCTTATCTAATAAATCAATTAGAGGCAATAAATCCTTAACAGCCTTATAATTGTGAGTTCGTGCCATACGCAATGACAAATACGAAACCAGCTTAGCTAGTTACCCAAAATTAGACATTGAGTTTTTAATTTACGATTACTTGGAGAACAAGAAAAGAATTGAATATTTTATATATTTTGTTATACATTGAGAAACAAAAACACACAAAGTTTCTAGTATATATATCCTAGTATTGTGTTTTCGTCGATCAATCAAACTAATATAAAGATAATAGCAAACTTTGTTTTGTTGTTTGCAAGATCACTCTTTTTACGTTCATGCAATTCTAATACTAACAAATAACTGATAATAGTGTATGGATTTCGACCATTTTTAATTTGTCAATGTTTAAATTAATAATTTGATTAACATAAAACGTTTTTTAGTCTAAAGCCTTCCTCGAGAATAATAAATAAAGGGAAGTCGAATAAGGAGAACCAAAAATAAGGCGATTTTTCATGTTTAAAAAATAACAATATGCATTCAATAAAAATCCAAAATATATGGCAATTTTTTTATTAATTTATTTATTTACAGAGTTTTTATGTTTTGATTCAGTTTACCAAGCGTAGTTGGCGCCGTGGGCGTTGTAAGCGATGTGGGAGACCGCGGGAGCGGCAGAGTACGCCAGAGATGATCTGACCACGGGAGCGGCAGCCGCGTAGGTAGAGTAGACGGGAGCAGCAGCGGCGTAGGTGGAGTATGCTGGAGCAGCAGCGGCATAGGTGGAGTATGCTGGGGCGGCGTAGGATGCGATAGCTGGGGCAGCGTAGGTCCTAGCGTAAGACGCAATAGCGGGAGCAGCGGCGACGTAGGCCCTAGCGCCGTGGGCGGTCTGGGTAGAGTACGATGAGTAAGAAGTGGTGGCTGGAGCAATGGTCCGGCTGACGGCAACAGCGGGAGCAGCGTGGACAGCTACTGCTGGGGCGGAGTGGACAGCCACAGCTGGGGCAGCGTGGATAGCGACAGCGGGGGCGGCAGCGGCGTAGGTAGCTACGGGAGATCCGTGAGCAGTTTGGGTGGAGTAAGACGAGTAGGAAGTGGCAGCGGGGGCGATTGTCCGGGCAACAGCGACTGGAGCGGCGGCGTAGGTGGAGTACGCGGGAGCAGCGTATGCGCGGGCCACTACTGGGGCAGCAGCGTATGCGACAGGTGCGGCGTGAGCAGTCTGGCTAGAGTATGAGGATACGGAGGATACGGCTGGGGTGATAGTCCGAGAGACAACGGCCGGTGCAGCATATGCGTGGCTGCTGTAGGCAACTGGTGCAGCGATGCTGTGGCTGCTGTAGGCAACTGGTGCAGCTGCCAACAATCCACTACCGTGGGCTACGCCCAAAGCGCAAAGAGCGACAATCAACTGTAAAAAAAAAACATCGTAAATTAAACTTGAAACTAAATTCTAATAATCGAACTTTTAATCCAACGGCTTACACACCTTGGCGTACATGTTTCTGTTGTTAATGTTGGTAACTGAATAATTCTGTAAGGATTGCTCTGGTTTTTATATAGAGCCTTCGTCCATAACAAAGTCTACTTTCATTGTCAAGGTAGGCCGGTATTCGGTGGGTGGCGAGCAGCGCTAGTGACTCAGAGATAGACTTTCAATTTTATTCTTGTTCGGTTTGTTGACTGCCGGCATTTAACACCGGGTAAGCAGACGTAGAGGTACTCGTTAGTATATCGTAACTTTTTACGACATAATAAAAAAGACTAGCTGTCGGATATTCAAATACACATATCGTTAAAATATAATAATAATATACAGTATAATACCATTTTATCTCAGATGTCAAACAGTATAATTTTTAAAATTCCTCTAAAGCAACTTTGTAATATAAGGGAAATTCTGCATTTAAGTAAAAATAAGTAAGTAATTTCTCGTTTCCCATATCCTGCAATTACTTGCTTACACGCATTGCTCAGACTTTGAATATTGTTATTTTATCATAGTTGCTATAGATATGAAATGTTGGTTAAGTTAAATTTCAAGGTGTTATCCACGATTAGGTAGGTATTAATAATCGTGAAGGTATCTCCGGAAACTGTGCTATGACGTAATCTAATGCCGAGTTACTCAATGATTTCGGCTCAATGCTTAGCCAATTTCCTATAAAAAAAATAATTATTATTAATAAAAAAGGATGTTTAATTTTTCACTTGTTGTAACCCAAATATCCTGCTCATTCATGCTTAAAAAAATCATTAAAAACTATTTAATTTATAGTTTTTGTCTTCTACAAACAAACAAAGAACTTAAATTGAACAAATTCGTCCATAACTGGATCTATATAAAAATTGTTATTATATGTAAAGTAACTACGCTTTTCATATTTTAGTAATAAACTTGTATTATCATAATACCCGAGTTATAAAGTGAAAATATTATTTCTTATTTTTTTTTAAATTTTCGTTAGATATATACTTAATATCTATTTCTTATCTTAATCAGCTTCTAAGCTTTTAAGCTATGTAACATACTGGTTATTTAAGGTTATTTGTTTGTACAAAACTTCAAATAAGTAGATGACTATTTCAAGTTGTGTACAAACAAATAACCTTTATCTTTAATATAACAGTAATATTCATTAGCAGCTTTTAATATACAGGCGAGTAAATATAGCCTACTTATAATTGTTTTGCATAGGTCAAGCCGTATCAAGGACGTTTAGGTAATAAACAAAATTTATTTTGAAAAAGTACAGTTGCAGTCTATAATAATAGGTCCAATTAAAAATATTACGCAATGAATGTAAAAAGTTTATTATTTGAATAACTTATGCCTTATCTTGCACTACATTTCAACAAATATATTTGTACTCAGCTGTAATTAGGTATTAGTATTAATTATCTTTGACTGCTTGAAAATATCGTGTATGTTTATTTTTGGAAATTTAGCGTAACATTGTCTTATATTTATCTACTAGTGGATAAGCCTAGCACTTATTTAATTTGGTACATCAACAGCTCCTTTATCAAGATATCATACATTTTGCTTAACATATAAATTAAATGACCTCGTAAATTCTTACAATTTATTATGATTTATCAGCATTCAAGGTCTTTTATATACCTACCTACTAAACTAAATAAGTCATCTTAGTAAATAAACACATTTTATATCAACATGAAATCGGTATAGATAAAGCTTCCTTTCTACAAAATGTTATATGAACATTTCACTTTAAAGTCTTGTTTTTTTTTTTATATTTGTGCAATAAAGTGTTTTATTAATATTAACTAGGCCAAAGGGTTTGTACGCGGTCATTTATTTATTTCGAAATAGGTTAAAAATTGCGCATTGACTTTTAATTATGTACAATCACTCGCTCTACATTTACGTAAGTATATCGCCCATAGTCGTGTAAAATAACGTAATACTTACTTGTCAGGACGTCTGGCTTTGTAAGGTCGTTGACCAAAGTTGCATTGTGAATAATCTCGTTAGCTCCAGTTTTGTTCTTAACATGATGGTTCTGTAGATTAATAATGTATGCTGTAAAAGGCAACTGTCAAAGTGGCCTGATTTTTTTAGGTTATGCAAATGTTACATGTGGTCAAGGAATTATAACCTTCTTTAAAAAGTTATATTTAAGCAATGATGGATAGCCTAGCTGGGCGGAGATACTATCAGATATAAGGTACCTACTTACAGGAGACAACATAAAAACGTTTTGCCTAATCACCTCATGAGACACTATTATAAAACCAATAGAATTGACTATGTATGAAACATAAGTAATATTATTTCAAAATTAAAAAAAATGTCGACTCGGATAGGACTAGGCTCAATTGGTTAGCTCTACAACACGGAACGCTAACGTCGCCAGTTCATGTCCTGCATATTTATTATACAAAAAACACTTGGTAAAATGATTGTAATTTTTTTAAGTATAACAATAATAATTATATGTCACTGAATACCCTTTAGTTCAAACATAAAGCTTGAAGTTGCCCCTTTAGCTGCGTGAGCTAATTTCTTATTAAATTTTGCCAAACATTTTCAGAGTTAAGAACTGACAGTTGTACACTTACAGCCGTTGCCTTTTTTAATCATTAGCACGATTCCAAAACCGGATCAAAAATATTACCACAGTTAACTTAGTAATATTAAAAAACTGCTGATTATGTCACATACAATTATTGTAAGCTTATTGCAAATGCTTTTAAATATTGCAAAATCCACGCTTTTGCGTTTATCTAATAATCTTTGTTTCTTTATCATACGTAAATGCAAATTTAATTTATTACTACTATCGCCATATAGGTTATATAATGATTGTGATATTTTAAATTTCCGTCCATAAACAATATAAAATGCCAATTAGTCTTATTAAAGTGACCTATATAAAATGTAAGTATTAACTGAACTTGTAGCTGAGTTACTTCAGCACTTGGCGATATATATTCTGATGTCCATTAAAACATGCATCTCTAATGTGACTATTAAAAATTTTCAAAATAATTTGTGCCACTTTCTTTAAGCTATGTGGGACTGAAGTGAATCTCAGCGTATTTTTATCTACATGGAAATAATCTAACTTTTACGCAACAACAACCAGACCGGACAATTTATCACTTTAATGAGATTGAACCTAGAACTTCATGAGCTTAACGCTACGCTAAGCAACAAAGTAGAACTAAGCAAGGGTCACCACCCTTTACAAGGGCTGCTAACAAATAAAAGTTCTTTCATAACGCAAAAATATTCATTATATACCAGTACCAGAGGATGTAACAGTAATTTTCGCGAGGAACAATGTAAAAGTAAAACAAACCAAACAAATTATACACCAAGTAACTTCTTTATTTGTCTTTTAATTGACACCAAATTACAACACATCGAAAACACATTTCTTACAGAAGACTGATTCAAGAGAACCAATCTTAAAAGTAACAAACAACGTTAAAAAATCTTATAGCATAATATAAAAAGCACCAAAATATCTCCATGGGGGCACAGTTAAGGCCTAAAAATAAGAATGACGACAAAAAGTGTTCAGTTTTAGATATATTTTTGTTATGATCGAAGGCTTATAAGGAAAGCAAAACTAAAGATTTATATAAGCGCTGTACTTTTCCATGAATAAAGCAAAGAAAAAACAGCAGTTTACTTGTTTTTGGTCAATTAAATGTAACCTTTCGCAATATTCGATAACAAAGTAGCTGTCATTGAAAATGCTTTTATTATTTCGACGTATTGTTTTAATTCTAGGTACATTTCGTATTACTTTAACTTGCTTATGGTTTTAGCATAGGCTGGTCTGTGTTAGAGGATAGTGCCTAAGCCGCGCAAGGTCAAAACAATTCCAAAGCTTTTAAATATGCAATAAATGAATTATTTGAAGGTCTAATAATCGTAAACATAAACACATATATAGACAGCTAATCTTTTTTGCTTTAATGGTAATCATACAGCAAAAATTTTAACCTGTTTGTTAAAGATTAAAATTAAAATGTATAGTTTGTAGTAATAATGTGTTTTCCCTCGCGACATTGAATACAGATATAGCAACAAAAACAATCTATCGCCTTGGACATATTTTCAGTTCCAGCCATGAAGATTTGGAATTTTCATGGTTTGAACCCAAAAAACGCGAATGTTTATACACAGTAATACCTTCGTACTATCAATAGCAACTCACAGACAAAATACTTTTAAGTAGGGTAAAAACGCCCAATACTTTATTATTGTCTATGAATTGCAAAACCCTCATTAATTCCCTTACCTAATCACTTTTCAAGATCACATTATTCTCGAGTCTTTTCTCATCTTAGCTCTAATGACAAAAGAATAATCGAAACCATAAAAAGAAAAAAATTTAAAATAAGTATGTCGCTCTTCGCTACCATGGCTCAAAGTACTCGGTATTTTTAGTTGTCGATAATTAAACCGAACGCCAAAACTCCGGAAGTCGAACGTAACCTTTTCATCGGTGACAAGTGTCAAATTATAAGTATAGAGGGCGTATTTCTGGACAACATTGAGGCGGAATCGTTGTTTACTTCCGTATACTTAATTTGTATTATTGGGTTTTAACGGGTACAAGTTGGTTGTGTATTCTCGACAGTAGAGGACCGATGGAAAATTAAAGAGTTATTAATAAACTATATCTATCTCACATTGTATATTTCAGAACTAACTAATAGCTATGTCTTGTGATAAAATAAATATTTATTTTGTGTATTAAATGTTTAAAAATGAAATAGTGACAGTTAGGATGGATTTAGGAAAATATTTGAAGATATTAGATTGCCTAAATATATGTTTATACAGTTTTAGAAAGTCATATACAAAATAGTAAACATTTGTTTAATAATATTCATATAAGGGATAGTAATTTTCACTCTTTGATTTCATAAGCTCTTTTGTAAATACGTCAAAATTCAATTTGTGGATTGTATTACAATCAAACTTAATGCGAATTCTCCAGAAGTACCAAAAATAAATTTAGATTTAAACGATTTTAGGAATTTTCTTAAGTCGGTAACTTCTTTATATGTTTAAAGGAATAAAAAATATTTTTATTAAAATACTTAACTGTTACATCTAGGAAAATTTAAAATAACCCCTGTATACCTTAGAAGTACTAAAAATTAATTAACCCGTAACGAACACAATATGTAACATTCAAAACATCAAGGACATGAATCAAACAAATATGTAACTGAGCAAGATTGAATTATTAACAATACCAGTTACTCAGACATAATCACAAACTTTGTTCGTCGCTATAAAACTACATTCAAATTTTGACCACGTCAGAAACGTTGTACAAAAACGATATTCTATTAAAGCCACAATATTCAGCCCTGCTTGGTTTCACCAATAGGTGGGTGTGCTTCCAAAGCATTCTCCCGTCTAAGCCAAGTTTTACAGCCACATATATTTACACTAGGAGCTTGTTAAGTGTTATTAGTAATCAATGTCACACACGCGAGAGACCCTTAGACCTCAGAAATGAAGTTGAAATCTTGGCAAGAAATGAGAACACAACTTTTTTTATGACAGATATTGGGTTTGGATATTTGGAAATCAACAGACTAAAACTAAAATGCGATTAACCTTCACGGGTTTTCATCTGCAGACAGTGATTCATGACCGGGACGGATATGGACATTTCGTCTTATCACTCATCTAATACCTTATCCGTTACCAAGTAACGAATACCGCGCAAACAATTAGCATGGTTGATATATGTCAACTCAAGTGACTATAAAACTTCGCATAGTATTCAACAACACTCGACTTACAAATAAAGACATCAAAACACTTAGCAACATTTATACAATTAACATCAATTTGTAGTTTACAAGTGGTACACAACATATAAAAAACACTTTTGAACAGATTTAAATAAAACACTTTAACGGTTTTAAATGCGATATATTATTTTGAAAGTTACTTTTAACTTCGGCACGACGTTTCGGATGCTTTGCAGCAGCCGTGACCAAGGGGATCATGTTCAAATAAGTTTACTAATATATCGCGTTTTAAACCGTTAAAGTGTTTTATTTAAATGTGTACTATTCGTGTAAACTATAGACAGTATTTACTTTTGAACAGGTTAAAATACGTGGTGAGAGACATTTTTGTTTTTTAACCCGCTTGAAAGTTGATTTATTTAACATCGAATTGTGTGATTATATAAAAAGGGGTATTGTATTAGCTTAAATTAAAAAAAATCTAGTAAATTAGAATACAAATACTATAAGTTTTTGCATTGGACCTCATATTTACTAGAAGGAAAATATAAGAGTTATTTAATAATTTTGCGCCTCTTCTGAAGAGTAATTTCAACTAAGATATTAGTACATATTTGGACGAAGTTAATGTTATTGTACACCAAATCGACAGAGTAGAAATACATAAAGATTTTAATATAAAAATATTACAACCGCTATTTTTTAAATTTACATACATTTGACTATTAGCGCAACGCAACATTAAGATTAGCAAACATTGTAAATAACATCCAAATTCGCCTAAAGAGAAGTAAAATGGGAGTTTGTACGTTACATGTTACACAGAGCTCGCGTACAGTTACAACACGAAGGGCCGATTTCATCGATAAATAAGGTTATTGTCATTGGTTAAAACTTAAATTGGTTAAAAAATCTTATTTTGATTTTCCAACATTTTTGGGTACTAAACAGAACCCGACCTTTCCTATGACGATTAGTCAAAATCTATTTACCGGTAAAATTGAGTCTGAAAGCCGGGTACTTACTAGTGACGTTACCTGTAAGCGATGCAAGAACCTTTACTATAGGATATACAACACCACAGTTCAAAAAACCTACGGAGGTTTAGCTTTTATTTACTAGTAGGTACCCGACCATACAAAAAAATATTTGCCTTTGGTCTAACTGTTTGTTACAATAAAAATATAACTTTCAGAGTACTACAAGCTTCGTCTGATATATTTAGAGTTCTTATTGTGCTAGTATTTTTATGCGTTGTAGAGGCATAATGATCAGTAGAGTTATACCGATCAATTGTAAGAAGGAATAGCTCAACGGATTTTTTATTACATTAAAGAATTGAAACGCGAGCTGTTTCCCGCCCGCCACCCCGTTGCGAATGCCTTTTACTTATAAGCAAAAGGCAAACACAACTACTATGTATTTACAAAATGTCGCGTTTAAATTCTTAGGGTAAGTTGATCTGTGCTCTACAGACAATTAATCATAGTCATAGACAAACGTCAAGTTGTCTATGTCTAGATTCTTTTAAATGTGAATTCACATTGAATCTAAATACACATATTGTAATCTTGTACAAAATGTGTATTAGAAGGTCAATGAAATTGGTATTTGTTATCATACTTGAGCAAATCTTTCGTTTTTTAGAGATTAGATTAAATATTTACATCGTCGTTTTTGAATTCGTAAAATAATATTAAACTAATTATTATCATTGTCAAATTACTGCACTCGAACATTTCAACTTGAAAAGATTTGTTCAAGTGTTCAAGTTTAATTTCGTGTCTTCATTTTGAAACTGCAGAATCACTTCAAATATTTACAATTAGTGTATATCTGCTATATTTGTGATTGATGTTATTAAAACGTCAAAAGACACTTAGTTGACGTTTTACGTTTTCTTGTACAAAATAAACGGTTACCATGGCAACATTATTAACAAAAATATTGCCACGATATTCCAGCCAGTCCCAAATATAGAACCTCACCTTATGTGTAATATATACAATAATACTATACATTTATAACCTACAAAGGAATGTTAAAATTCCGCATGAAACATTTCTTATAAATATGGTATAATATATTTTACCAGACAAATACTTACCAACTATTCACTGTTAGTTTTACAATAATGAAAGACAGAAAATACCTATGCTACTATTAGTTACTAAATCTTATCTATAAAAAAGTCTTACCACACGACTGAGCACACATTTTAAGCTGTGTATCTTGCCCTGGGGTAATAGAGGGGAAAATACATCCTCCTAATAAAGTGACGTCTCTGCTAGGCGATCTCATCGGATAGTTTGTGGTTCGCTGTCACAGTAGCGGTGAGCAGACCTGGGTTTAGCTCGTAGTTGCTACAAAAACATGACATCTGTTTTAAGGTGTTTGATCTCGTTTTCTATTGGAGAAAATTGGGAGACACGTAAGACACCATTTTATTTTAAATGTTGTTGGTTTAGACCAATTTCACGTCTACAAGTCTATTGAATAGCTTTGAAGGAAGAAGTTTATTTCACATTATTTTAAAGTAAAAAATAATAATATAAAATCGACTTTTAATTTATATAAGCCATCGTGTACTAAGCTGTGAAAAATATAAAAGTTTTCAAAAGAGTACTTACTAAAAACCCCTTTCGAACAGTCGCTTCTTGACAGCTGGTTTGATTCTCGGCCCCGCCGGGCTATGTTTTCCCCTCCCAGTTATCAGATACAACACTTGGCTCCTAACACCGTTCCTTCCGTTTAGATCTTTCAGCTTGCGAATGTGTATATCGAGGAAAAGATCTAACGACTCTATCGCTTCAAGCACTCGCATACTGTGCAAGTCAATGGTAGAGTTGTCCTTCATACGTCGCGAGTTTACCTGCAAAAGTCAAGAATATTATAAAAAAGCACTACCACGTTATTTAGATAAATATTTTTTTGACGGACTCCTTGGTACAATGGCTAATAATCTCTGTCTAAATACTGTCTATAGTTTACGCGAGTAGTACACATTTGAATAAAACACTTTAACGTCTCCCCGTGACCACGATGCTGCAAAGCATCTGAAACGTCGGGCCAAAGTTAAAAATCATTTTCAAATAAGTTTAACTAATATATCGCGTTTTAATCCGTTAAAGTGTTTTTCTCTTTCTAATCAATTTAAATTAGAAAAATATTTCTTTACTTTTGACTTCGTCTTGAAGTCTAGATATTGAATGTTTGGTAGGAATATCGACTTTCCGTCCGAGTCATGAACGAGCGTCCGCAGGTGAAAAAGCGCTCCAGACCAATCTAAAGCCAAAATTTGTGGACATTGCATCTTGTTTAGATGCTTTGTGACCTCGTCTATCATATAAAAAAATAAGCAAGGGTTTTTCTAAATTATTCGCATTGCAGTATAATTCTCGCTGAGCACTTTTGGCAACACTTTCCTTTATCGGTTATGATTACTTATAAAAACTGTCACTACTATAGTATGTAATGTTACTTATTATTATCATAAAAGTTGTCGTATACGTGATACAGATGGCGCAAGCGTATAATAATTTAATAAAGCTGCGTCATTTCAAATGTTCTACATAATAAATTTCCATATTTATATACTTTGCGTTATAAATTCGAAAAGATCCTTAGAATTACTTACATGGACCAAAGCGTTAGCGGCCTTACTAGAAGCTTGTTCATAGAGCATAGTATGGTAGGCGCTTAGCTCGGAGTAATAACTAGCCACAGACAGTAATCCGCGATTGATGTAGTCGCGTGCTTTGTTGTAATTCCTGGAAATACATTCGTAATAGATTTTATCCAAAGCCAAAATAGGCCGACAACGCATCTTGTTTAGATGCTAGCCTATGCCGAGGCTGGCCTATTGCACCTACCATCGAGTGAACACAATGCTTGTCTGTCCTCCTTTATCATTAAAAAAATCGAGAAACAATTTGAAAACTAATAAAGATTTCGTTAAAATATTTTTATACGGGCCACTTTAATCGATATTTAGCAATTATTAAGAATTTTTGAGTGTCAAGTAATTTAAAAATGCTTAATTTTTTTTTTCACAATCAGGTGTTTATATAGAAAAGAATTATTATATAGAGAATTAACGAGAAAACCTAGCTCGCTACCGCTTCTATAGCCAAGTTTCAGACAAAATAGTCTTTAAATAGCAAATACATTTCATTACACAAGCTCATATACAAGCTTGCACCCTTGAAGAGCAAGTATTTTCGTTTTAGATTTTTACGGCCACAGACCTTTGTTTGTTTTTTCATATAGCGCATTTCATATATTGCAAAGAAAATTTTACGACTAAATTACGTACTTTTGTCGCAGGTCCAAGTGGTTTGCGGCTTCAGCTCTGAAGTGGTTCACGTCCGCCATTGTTAATTTTGTGTCCGAAGGCAAGAACGGCCATTCCACTTCGGACAGAGCCTGCAAAATGTTTTAATGTTATACAATTGGACAGAAAGAAAATGAAATAAGAAATTGGTCAAATACATGTTTAATTACACTTCCTTATTTATATACAGACTTAAATTTGATAACCCTAACTTACTGACAAAGCGCATTTTATTAAGTGCGTAAGTCCTGAGCTCGAATCCCAAGGAAGCATTATAGAAGCAGTTATAAGTAAATTTATAAAAGCAATCGATTTATATACATTTAGCATACCTTTTTCTTTTCCTCGATAAAACGCATTTTCCTTTGCATCTCTTTTTCCATTACAAACTTATTCACACCGTTCTTAACTTCGAGAATATCCGACCTACCCGTTGAAATCAACAGGACCTTAAACAAAAGATAATAACCGTTACACATGTATAATTTCACAAATAATAAAATTTCGATGACGACGCGTCAACCGTCTAATAATTCAGAAAATTCACAAGAACAAGCTGTAATACATATAACATACCTCCACTGTGTTTTGAAAATTATTATCATGAGCCATTAAAAGCTCCGATAATATTTCCGGAGCAATATCGGGAAACAGATTATATAATTTGTCTCTTGTCATTTTCGCTGCTAAATCTAATGGTTCTTTATTGCGCCATTCGGCGACTTCCTTTTGATACAAGGACAGTGCAAGATCCATATCCATAATCTCTTTAAAATCTGGAATATCTGGCTCTTTGCCACTTAAAAGCATTTCTTCTTCCTTCGCAACTAATAACCTGTTAATGAACAAAAACAAAAGAAAATAATGTATTTCAAAAGCAAAATAATAAAATAATAGTTTTTAAAGTTTTTTAGGGATATTGGACATTGACCTTGCAAACTCGGCATCCTGTTCGATCATGACCTCTGTTTGCTTGCTCTCTTCCTCAAGTTGGTGCATCAATGATTCCATCCATAATGCATTAATCTCGTTCAGTATTGACATTGGCACATTTATATTTGGAACAATGTTATCTGGATATTTCATATCATCTCTACCAAACAGCCTGTCTAGCTCCTTAATAAATTCCATTCCAATGTTAACATTAACGGTTTTTTCAACATCGCTTGCGCAACTGCTAGCTTCATCGTCAGACCCTTCATGTGGCATATTAATAATTGCATCAGAAGTGCTAGGAAGATTTATTTCACTCGTATCAGTTTTCAGTGATTCTATTTTGTTTCCATGATTACCACGTCGCCAATTCCTAACTTTTAAATGGCTTTCAGAATAATGGTTTTCCCCGATTACAATGTTCTCTTCAATTTGACGCTTCATCTTCAAAGAAACTTCAGATTTGGTTATTTCTTTACGCACTCTTCTAGGAGATGCAGCAATAGTCATGTTTTGATTGGTAATTTTTTTTAATACTGTGTCAACTTTTTCGTTTACTGGTCGAATATCAGGAATTATGTTATAAGCTGCAAGACATTCACATCTATCGGGGCTTTCGGTGCCACCCTCGTCATCAGAAATATTTTCTTCTACAAGCCCAAACTGTTTATTGGTCATACCATCTATAACAATTTCTACAGCCCAATTAACATCTCCGCAGCAATTTTCGAAAACGTCTCTTAGATCAGATTTTGATATATTCTTAAACATCCTTCGGAAAGCTTTAAAGTGCTGTTCTTCGTTTTGACATCTGAATGGTTGCATAGATATTTCTTCATTGTATGTAGATGTACTTTTGTCGAACATTCTTTTGTCAGGTATCTTTTCTTGTTTTTGAATAACATCTGTGTTTATGTTTCTTGGAATTGTAGTAAGAATTTTGTATGAACTATTTAAATTTGAGTTAAAATAAATATCTCCATTTTCAATGATAGTTCCAATGCTTTTCATTTCTATGATTACTGGCGACATTTTTTCCGGAACAGGATATTGTGGGTCTGTTAAGGGTGGTAAATATTTTCTCCAGTCATTGAAATAATCTATTGGTATAATGGGTTTTTCCTCTTTAGGTTCTTGTATTTCTTTACTTCGGGGTGGTCTAGCTGTTAATGGTTCACTTGAACAAGTAAGATTAGAAGTTGATGGTTTTTGAGTGTCCTCATCCCATTTTTCTCCATTATCCCATGCTGTTTCTAATTTTTCAAATTCTTCTAAACATACTTGAACTTCTTCATACTGTTTTACATTTGGTGTTAGTTGAGGTGAATTTTCAATATCAACCTTATCTTCTTTCCATGACATACCTTGTTTATAGCTGCTGCTTTCATTATAAGATTGAGTCACACCATCTGGATATGTTTTATTATTTTGTGTCTGAAAATCTTGTTGAACATTGGTAATTGCAACAGATACTGTTTCTCTTTCATTGTTGGTATTAATAGTTGGTGAGGTGATAAGTTGTATAAAATCAGGGTATTTCCTTAGAACAGGTGGATTAAAATCTGTAGGATAATGTAAGCCTAGCTTCTTAACCAAAACTTCACCACTTACAACCTCCTGTTTGTTTTCTAACATCCTCTTTATTGAGTGCAAGGGAACATTATGATTATTTCTTTTAAAAAGCTGATAGGCATTTCTTGCCCAAGGTGTTTTGGGATCAATCACATGTATAACATATCCATTTGCAACTGCGAGCCTCACATATGGTTCCATTTCCCAGATAAGAATATTTGTATTATCAATTATAATAGGACTAATCCCTTGTGACGTGGCATATCTTGCTCTTTGTTGGTTCCATGAGTGTGCCTCTTGAAGTTTAAATTTATCAAATACATAAACACCCCTTGACATGAAGAAATCATCTGTACTTAAGATGTGCCTATCAAGATCTTGTTTTTGTTTTGAGCCAGTAGTACATTGCAATATATCCCGAGCAAGATGTGTTTTTCCACACCCAGGAGGTCCCCTCATAATGATTAGCACACGCCAACCATAATTATACTGATTAATTATTTCTTGAATCTCTGGATATGATGACATATTTTTGCTTTCTTTAATAAGTGGGCTTGGTGAATTTAATTGCATGCCAGGAGGTCTCTGTTGAGACACCTGTGCATATGGTATACCATTTTGTGGAGCAATTGTCGTAGTCATATTGTTAATCTGATGTTGTGGATTCATTTGTAATCCTGATGGAGTCGGCAAAGGCGGTCCAAAATTTGTAGGACTTACATCACTACTGATACTCATTAATGCATTTGCAGATTGATTCACTGAAATTAAATGAGCAAAGAAATTAAAAAGAAAAGAAAAACAACAATAGGTATATAATATAAGTGGAGGGTGACGCAGTAGCAACATCTATAAATGTACAGAATAAAGTAACAAACCCTTACCAGAAGTAGTATGGTTCATTGGAATGTAAGTATATGTTGTTGACTTAAAATAATACATAAACATTGTAATTAAAACACTTGAAACATCTTAATAAAAGCAAAAACTTATTCCCGCCTAACAACGAACAATGCGCCAACAGGTGCGTCGCAAGGGAGACTCAATCAATAACTTGCATAGCTTGCCTAGAATCAATCAATTCAGCAAAACATAGGTCCCGGGCAAAATGTGTGGGCAGTCACAGATCCACAAACGAATATGAACCTTCGCTATATTGCGCACGATACAACTTGATAATAACCATATCGAAGTACTATAGGTGGCTATGAAGATCTGTATAAACAAGACCTTGTTAATTAAGGCGCGTAAATCTGAACACTCCTTTTGAGGTTATATGAAAGTAACAAGAACAAAATATGCACTTACAGTCACCGTCATAACTTTCTACAACAGTTTCAATAACGTCTTTGCCAATAACTCCACTGAACGTTGTATAAAGTGTATCCACAACATCAGAAAAATGTATTTCCTCATTTTCCATGTTTAAAAAAGGACCTTAGCATATAATTTATTAACGTATATTAACAAAATCGGAAGAACGTTATTTTCTGCTATAATTATGATAATATGTTTTAAATTTGCGGTAAACTATAACATAATTAATTGACGTGTTTGTTACGAAATCCATATTTTTTACAAACAATTAGTGAACTGTCTATGCTACTTCTTTGCAGTGTTGTTATTGACAAACAGCTGATGACAAAGCGCATGACACGAACAAGAATCTAGCAAACTACAGACTAAAATTAAACTTGTACAAATGTTTATAGTCTTAGGTTCGTAAAATATTATAAAGTACTAATGCGGTTAATATATCAATTTTTTAAGACAAAGCACGTCGGATCAAATGGACCATGGGGAGTATTACACATTTAAAGTAAAGTGTTTTATTTAAATTTGCAATACCCGCGTAAACTGCAAGCAATACTTAATACTGTATTTTACAATCATTATAATATAAAACGCAATTACACAGACACCCTTTCTACAAATTAATGTATCTATAATTTTAATGTTATTCAAAATGACAACCATTTAAGTGTTTTTAGAGTCATCGTATAATAACATCTATCAATATGAATTAAAAAAATATTACAAATTACAAACAGCCGATCCCTTGTCATACGGCCTTTCTTTCATTCGAAATATCATTATAAAAAATTAAATCGTATCACTAAACCTTTAAATCATTATTCGTTACTCTATTGGTTTATTATTTTAGCGTTTAAAAAATCACAAAAACACTCTGTATGCATAGTGCAGCGCATTGTCAAATTGGTTTTGTCAAATGTCAAGTAAGGTAAACAATGCTTTTATTTAACAAATTAGTATTTAATATTTATTTCTCAATGAATTATTTCCTAACGTGTTTTATAATATAATAAATACATTTGTGTTGACAAACTTTAGTCTAATTGTTGTATATGGATAAGGTCAGTCATTTCTAAACTGTAAACGGGTTTTGAAACAATAAATATGGGTGATAACTTCCAAAATAAAACGATGGCCCCGGTGATGATGGACTATGAGTTTAAAATAAAAACACAGAATGAACGTTCTAAAGTCGAAGATTTGTTTGACTTCGAAGGCTGTAAGGTCGGACGTGGGACATATGGTCACGTCTACAAGGCACGGCGTAAAGATGGCTCCGATACTAAAGATTATGCTCTCAAACAAATTGAAGGGACTGGACTTTCTATGTCAGCTTGCAGGGAAATTGCAGTAAGTATGCAACATGTTGTGCTTTACCTATGTGAGACATAAGGCTGACACATTTTTGTATGCTTTTCACAAAGTGTTTTTTAGGCATAGTAGAGTATAAGCCATCTCAACTTAACTGCACCCAATCAAGGGGAATGAGGGAAAAGCTTTGAGGCTGAGACAGAAATGAAGATTATCTTAATAACTGCTATGCTCTTTTACCTATAAAAAAAAGGCCATTAAGTCCACTTTTGTCTTAACTAATGACTGTCATTAAAATTTACTTAAATGATAATCTATGACAAAGTACTACTACTGTACATATCTTTAATACAAGCTTTTTTTTTCAGTTACTACGTGAATTAAAACATCCAAATGTCATTAATTTAATTAGAGTATTTCTTTCACACACAGACCGCAAAGTTTGGCTTTTGTTTGATTACGCTGAACATGATTTGTGGCATATTATCAAGTTCCACAGAGCAGCAAAGGCTAACAAGAAATCTGTTATGGTTCCAAAGGGTATGGTAAAGAGCTTGTTATACCAAATTCTTGATGGCATTCACTATTTACATTCCAATTGGGTACTTCATAGAGATCTTGTAAGTATTATTAAGTAGTTACAGTTTTCTTAATGATTTTTAGAAAGTGCTCATGTGGAACCATATCCAATTTGAATTATTTTTCCATACTTGCTTCAGAGCATACACAGATTAAAAAAAAAAAAAGAGAATGGTTCAATTAAGCATCCATTTCAGTGCCAAGATTCTGTTGTATTAAAAGATTGTCTTACCAGATATATTACTTAAGAAACAAATTCAAGATCTTATTGCGTTTATATTTCAACAGAAACCAGCTAATATTTTGGTAATGGGAGAAGGTCCAGAGAGGGGCAGAGTTAAAATAGCAGACATGGGTTTTGCTAGATTATTTAATGCACCCTTAAAACCACTAGCTGACTTGGATCCCGTTGTTGTGACTTTCTGGTACAGAGCTCCTGAACTCCTGTTAGGTGCTAGGCATTACACAAAAGCCATTGGTGAGAAATATACAATTATTTATGTTTATCACCTGGATTAAGTACTTTTAAGTTAAATGTTAATTTATATAGTTCAGCTTTTTTATATGTATGCTTTAAACATTTTGATTTAATAAATAATATTCAATATATTTGTGTCCTTTAGGTTTAGATAAAATAGTTAAATAAAATAAACACTTCATCTACCAGTACCTTAGAATAAGAAATATGAGATTTGAACTTTTGCTGTTTAGATTTGTAGTACTAAGTAACAAAAAAAACATATAGCAGACTGACACTATTAAAGAAAAAGTTATATAAGTACCTAATCACATTATTTCTACTTAATATCTACTTTCAGACATATGGGCCATTGGTTGTATATTTGCTGAACTATTGACGTCTGAGCCAATTTTCCACTGTCGGCAAGAGGACATCAAAACCAGTAACCCATACCATCATGATCAACTTGATAGAATATTCAATGTTATGGGCTTTCCATTGGAAAAGGATTGGGAGGATATAAGAAAAATGCCAGAACATGCTACACTTGTTAAGGACTTTAAAAGATCCAAGTGAGTTTTTATAGTCATGAGGTAAAGGAATTGTAAGCTACATAGTATTGGGTATGTCTGAGTCATATTTGACCTAAACTAAATGTTATTTCTATCCTCCAAGCACTTTTAGAAAATACAATATATTTACATCATTGATATAAACTTGAACATATGTTGCAGCTACCAGAATTGTTCACTCAGCAAATATATGGATAGACACAAGATAAAGCCAGACAGCAAAGCATTTAGTTTGTTACAAAGACTTCTGTTGATGGATCCAAATAGAAGAATAACATCAGAACAAGCAATGCAGGATCCATATTTTTCTGAAGATCCATTGCCAACTCAGGTATTTTATTTCATAAAATATATCTAATATTTTATAAAAAAACATAATATAAATAAATGGAAAAAAGTTCCTTTGAAATTAAAGGAGGGTAAATTAGATTTAGATTTTTCTATGACAAAGCTAAATATTATAGACTAATACTGTAATACTGTCTGTCCCTAAGGTAGGTTGTACAATCTGTTTAATTAATATGTGGACTTATAACCAGGCTACTTAGTAATTATTGTGTACTAATTTAAAACACTATTGCCTTCAATTTAATTACAATATTTGTTGCTATAGTAAATGTTTCAACTCACAAAGAACTATGTTCTTTTTTATTATTAAAAATCCCCTTCCCCCCTCGTGGGGCATGGCAGGGCGAACACATTTCTGTGTCCGTTTCACTGATCCGTTCTTTAAAAGGCAATTAGCGGATTAGACTTCTGTGCCCTGCCTGATCGAAACAATTGTTTGTTTCCTTGGTATTCGAACCCAGGACCTCTCGCGCTTAATGCAATGCTAGGCAATACGTTTAACCGTTTGGCTACAGAGGCGGTCAATGTTCTTATAAATGCGAATTCTATATCTTATTTACAGGATGTATTCGCCTGGCTGTCCTATTCCGTACCCGAAGCGAGAGTTCTTGACAGATGACGACCAAGATGACAAAAGTGATTCGAAAGCACGACAAAATCAACAGCAGCAACAACCTAATGTAAGACCAATTTTATCTAAGTGTAGGTTTTTAAAATAAACTCAATTATTTACTTTAAATCTTCAAGGGGAATGTCTACCTTCAAAAAATATAACGTCTCAAGATTGAGTATTTTTTTTAATAACAGTACTACTACTTCAATAATCGGTTTTTATTGTAGTTGAATTTATTTCAATGCTTAAAAGAATTACATAAGAAGGTATAAGCATTCCCCTTTCTTTAAAATCGGAAAAGCATGGTAAGTACTGGTCATGGAATGGTCTTTTAATGTACTTAGTTATCTTAAATCTTCTGTTTAAGTACTACATTCTGCTTGCATGCTGAATTCTTTGGAAAGCCTGTATATTTTCTTTTCTATTGAATTATCCTCTTTTATTATTTTTAAATTTATGTTCGATTGGTATTTTTAAGATAAATTCAAATTATTGAGACTGGAGAGGCGAAGGAATGCCGTTTTTTATTATTTTATTTCTGTTTATTTTATTTATAGGAAAGAAGACCAAATGAGCAGACAATGAGACTGATGGTAAGCATTTGAAATGTGTGCCCAAATACGGGCCACATTGCAAAATTAATGAGTATTGGTCGGTCCACAATAATCGTACAGACCAATGATTCACCCATTGTTAATTATTTGACCTTGTTATTGAATGTAATATTGAAATGATTTTAAAAGTGTTCAAAAGATTATTTTTGTTTTTCTGTGAATTTAATTTTTTATCAAATATTCTTTATCATTTTATGCTATGCTCAATGTATATATGCTTTTTGGGATAATTATTTGCATGTAGGGTTTTACAATGTTAATGGTTTTTAAGCTATTTATTAGTTATTTAGTGTGGGTAAGTTTTCATCGATTTATCCTAAAATAATGTACATAGTTGAGTGTTATATGTTTTGTGAATTGTTAAGCTTATCTGGAATATTTTTTAATAAGACAGAAGTAGTTTTTTGGCTAAAATACGAATACGCAACGATATTTCAGGCTTCAAAGGTGAAGAACAGAAAAAGAAGTCACCATATTTTTTGTTAAAAAAATATATTGTTTTGTTTCAGACCCAACAAAACCAAGTTCAAGCCAACAGTCACGACCACGCTGCCAACAATGCAAAAAGGATGAGAATGTCGGGTTAGTATAGGCTAATAGTAAATTGTATAGGTAATAAGGTTTTACTGTAAGTTAAGTACTGTATTTGTTTTACGTATCGATTTTAATTATCACCTTTTTGGACAAGTAGCTTAAGTTAGCTTCAAAAATGTGTCATACGCTTGAACGCAACTACTTGAATTTTTTTTTTCGGATGTTTTTACTCTGTTTCAAGGAACTGTAAGTAAATAATTTTTCTCTTTTGCGATATTTTAGGTCCAAACCAAGGTAACAACAACCAAGGAGGTGGACAACAAGAGTTCCATCAGCAGCAACAGATGATGTACGGCGGACAACAGCAAGGCGGTGGGTCGCAGCAACAGGGAAACTTTCAACAGAGATTCTGAGGCCTATACTGGGAACGGGGATAGGGAAATACACACGCTAAGTGCAGTGAACTACACTACTTAGATCAATGAAGCAGTAATAAAATTAATAAAATACTCTGATCAAAGAATAGCAGTAATAACGCAAACTGTAAAATTTAAAAGGTATGGAATTACTTTTATTAAATCTTTCATTTCACCGAATTTTTTGGTTATCACAATACAATTTTAGATTTTCAGAGATAGTTTATTTATCAAATTGTTTGAGTTTTGTTAATTACGAAGTTCTGTAATTAAGATGTTAGAGTGAAACGTACAAACAAATGAAAAAGAAACAAGCTTAATGCAATGACGATACAGAAAGTAGGTTAGGTATATGTATATATACATATATTGCCAACTGATTTTGTATGTAAATAATTTTATTGGTTTTAGTAAGGTAGACCTTATTCTTTGCACTGAAGAAGTATTGTTAATGACAGGACTTGTGTAAATATGTATCAATTCTCAATAAAAGTCGTAATTGTAAATGTATTTTTATTGTAACATTTTCATACAAACGTTATAAAAATATAATTATATTCTCTTAAACTATGGACGGATTTATCTTTATCAACCGACATATAATAGTGTTATATTTTGACTGATTTATGCAATTTCAAACTTGTGCGAAGTTTTATACAAAATTGTTACCAGTCAAATGTTTTACTCTTTTAGTTTTTAAACTATCATTAAATTATGGCTAGAAAATACTGGTCCATTAATTATCCATTCCTTAGGTGGTTTTGGTGGTATCGTGTGAAAAAACCAGTGAAAATAATAATGATCCAAGCATTTATTTTCATTTGCTTCAAAAATTTGCATTTGAATTGACAGTAATTATAAGTTCTAACAGTTAAAGGCCGTTTTTTAAACGAATCTACAAACTGTCGCATATGTGGGGTCTTACTAACGATAACGATGTTCAGAAAAAAAAAGAATTGGAATTAGCGAATTCGTTGCCGAACTATGGTTAGTAAGGTTACTAAGAATAGCATCGTCTTATAACAAGTGACTGTTCCCATGGCAACCTTCCATAAGATTAACTTAATTCTGTACAGAAAGTTATATTAAATCGAATGTTCAGCGTTTCAAAGACGAAAATTCAACGACAGTTTCAGGGCCGCTGTGTGAGACCGTGTATTGTGCTTTCTTCAGATCTTCGCGTTTTATTTTGTTCTTCTCAACGGTGCGGATCCGAGTCCTTAATCTTCCACATCGGCCGTCTGCGACCTTTTCATATGTTACTGAAATTTAAATGTTTATTACTCGTATCTTTGTCTATAAATGCCTAGTTTATTAAGAGGTCTATTAGATAGTGTGCTATAGTTACGGTGAAATCCCGTTTCCCCTCGTGGGGCATAGGGCGAACATATTTCTGTGTCCGTTTTACTGATCGGTTTAATTTACAGGCAAGTAGATGACCAGACTTGTGCCCTGCCCGACCGAAACAATTTACTGTTTCCCCGGGATTCGAAACCCAAGACCTCTCGCGCTTAACGCAATGCTAGGCAATACGTTTAACCATTTAGCTACAGAGGCGGTCAATATATATATATCGGCTATAGTGACGAACATACTGTTAAAACATGTAACAAATGATATCAAATGTACTCACTTTCTTTTTTAAATGAATTATGGCACGCCATATGACACAAAGACGGGAAACCTTTCAGGGCATTGGAGTCGATGGGCACAAACCCTTCTGGACTAGCGCAAATCGGATCCCGTTTATCTTTACAAGAGTCCAAACAGGTGTCGTAATCGTTCTTCCTCTTAGAACTTTTCCTTTTTTTAGTTGTTGTCTTCGGTTTCTTAGTGGTCGTGGTTGTTGTGCTCGGGTTAATATGGAGATTGGTTATGGAACCTCTAGGTGCCTTCAAACGAATGGTTAGAAGAGGCTTGGGAAGCGGCATTAAAAGTGTGGGAGTTGAATTTGTTTTTAATGTATTCGTTGATTCTTTGACCGTGTCACAAGGTCTTTTCTTTCCTCCATTCGCGGGATTATTTCCGGTCCTAGTTTTAGGGGGGAAAGTTGGGATGTATGGCGATGGACTACTATAGGTGTCTCGAGGAATAGGAGATGACGTCGAGTACGTATTGAAATCATTGAACTGCGAAGGTAGGGTAGTTTGTGTCGGTAGCCATGTCTGTATAGTTGATGGTGTCACTGCAACAGTGGATGGAGTCGATTGATACGAATTCTGGTTTTGCAAGATCTGCTCTAGTGTTCCTAGAATACTAGCGACGTCTCGGTTGCCCAGCCCAGACTGTATGTTATTTACTGGTTGCTGCAATGTCGAAAACGTGCTCTGAGGTATTGTCGTTGGCAAATTCGACTGCAGTCTCTGAATATCTCCAGACTCTGCCGCGATACTAGGATACTGTGTTTGAGTGTAGCTGCTGCCTGTACTCCAAGTTGTTGGGGTAGATGACCCAACGATATCCTGGGTTATGGGCGATTGCGTCGATTGTAGAATAAACACGGGGTTGTTAGAAGACAGTGGGCTTTCGGTGGAGAAAATCTCGGTGATCGGTTTTGGCGTATAGTTGGATTCGTTGATGAGATTGGCGGCGTACCATCCTGGTACGGCCTTTGGTGTTTCGGCTGCGCATAGCTGCAATACTGAAATAAAATAAAAATGTATTTACAATTTATGAAGTTGTGGATATTAAGTGTATTGCGTCTGTTTATTCGATTTAATTCAGAACAAACAATTTATACTTATACAATTTTATACATTAGTCGAATACCTCCTTGCCTGTAAATAAAACTGTTCATAATTCATATAAGTTCAGAAATAGACATATTATTATGTCTGCCCTATTCTTCATGGAAAAATAAGACTTTTATTAGTATTATGTGGTGTTTATTCCTTTGACGTGCCAACGCGTTGTGATATTTAAAAATGTTAAAAACCTAAAGAAAACAGGATATGTTTATTCCAGAGAAACACCAACACATTACGGCAGTACCGAAACGGGTTTTCAAGGTCCACTTTTTGCAAAACGACTCCCTAAGGTCAAGTCCCCTAGCCCAGTATCTTTCCATTTTCATTGATAGAATTTAAAACATTGCATCGTAGCTGTGAGGCATATAAACTACGTGACATCCATCCATCATCATGTTGGACTTCGTAACAAATAAGTCGTAGGAATGTAAAAATTCTGACCGGGTCATGAACCACCGATGAAAGAGCACAGATAAAGAGCCGTTAAGTTTAATCACATATCAGTCTGGATTTCCGAGTCCCTCCGGTCGACAGTGCATCTTGTTTAGATGTTAGATGGCTGGGATATTTCGCCTACAATCAAGTGAAACCCAGCTTGTGTGTCTTCTATCACAAAACGGTGATATGTTAATGCCCAATACCTATTCAGCATATCACCTGTTTTCTTTTAGCGTATTTAGTAACTGGTTTCAATAGCACGGTAACCCGATATTGTCTATCAACGAAAATAGAGTTATGTTTCCGTCTAAGTTTTAAAACGTAGCGTAACGAACATGATAATTGTACGCATGTTTCTACTGAATGAGTGTTTTGGCATTTGCGCGTCTCATAATCATTACGTGATAGAAAATGTGTAAATATTTATAAAGCAGTTAACATGTACATAAGTCATGAAATGTAACGCGCAGCGTGTGCAACAATACATCTATTTATTGAAACTTGTTTCGACGTTACAAATTCACGATTATTCAAATTTTTGGCAATGATTAACTATTGATATGCTTGTATATTATAATAAATAAATAATGTGGACACAAAATTCAATTATTTTCTACGGCCAATAATAGCGGTAACTACGCTAAGTATAAGTAAATAAGTGAAAATTAAAATTGAAGATAGTGAAAAAGAAGATAAGTGAAAATAAGATAGATTCCAAAATCATTCTTTTTATTTAATCATTTATAACTATCTTATAATTGATAAATCTAAGATAAGATGTAAGTGGTAGCAATATTTTTAGTTTAGTTATTCTTATATTTAATTATATATTTATAAAAAACTTTGCTTGATAAAGCTAAAACATTCATAATGTCTACAGAGTTATTTCAAACAATTTCTTTATTATAATATCTTTTAGTGGGTGTTAATTGTAGTCTTTGCATATACTTATATGCTGTTTTATATACATGTACGTATTCTTATAATATAGCACAAGATGATTTTAAAAAATTGCGATGAAACAAATAGTAGTAGTGATGCAAAGCAAACCGAATGATTTGAAGGGGACACAGGGAGAGTTTGATACCTGTTTTTGTTTTATTTTTCTCGTCAAAGGGAGAATGAGAAAACAAATGACACAGATAGCAGATAATGTGGACTGATCACCCATCTCTCCCACCAATCAGTGTATCCAAAAGCAAATAATACAATCTATACTAATATATTAAGCTGAAGAGTTGTTTGTTTGAACGCGCTAATCTTAGGAACTATTAGTTTCAATTCAAAAAATATTTTTGTGATAGAGCACTTACCGAGGAAGGCTATAAAACATAGTGCTGTGACTAATAGGAATGAAAAAACAGCGGGAAATGTCGGAAAAACGGAGAAAAATATTCATCCTTGTCAATTTCTATTGCGTACGCTGCGAAAACGGTTCGAGTTACCCAAAAAATATGTATGGAAAAATTATTCCTTTTTAAATGATAGTATCTCTATGTCTATCTTTTAAGATTAACTTGCAAGAACAACGGGGCGCGGACGACGTCGTGGGTAACAAATCAAATTTATAGAGTTGAACAGTGGATTTGCAAAACAAAAATTGATATCCAAAATAATTATTCTACGTGTACGAAGTCGCGTGAATAGTTGAACTAACGTAGTAGTGAACTAACTAATATGTTAGTTCGTTATCGTAAAGAACAAATCGACCATTTTATATGTGCAGAGGTATATATAATTTATAAGAATTATAGTTATTAAAATTTATGACAGCAATTATTATCTGTGCGTTTATGGAAAGACAATTATGTTCATTTTAAGTTAAACTGGATCAATAAGGTATTTGCAGCTGTGTACGGCCCGTTGCATGGTGAATCATTGCATAGTCATTTCTAGGATTTGTAATGTCAATTGCATTAACCTAAGCCTGTAGACAGGAACTGATTTTCGTTATAGCCACTTGATTGGCTAGAAGTGCAGACATTAGTGTATTTACATAACTCGACAGACCTATAAATATCTGTGTATATTATGTTGTTTAGGTTTTGGAACTTGGTCACTATATAAGCGATGAAAGAGCAATCTCAGGTATGAAGTACGTTTTTTTCAGATCGGCATAAACAATACGTTCACAAAGAAGAAAAATCTACATTTAAGGATTAAGGATAGTTAAAACAGTTTTTTTTTTAATAAAACTGTTTTAACTGTTTAAAACGCGAAATATATCATCGATGTTTAATTTAACTATAGCCCAACGTTTCCAAGTTGTTTTTGTTTGAAGAGTTTGTTTGTTTTGAACGCGCTAATCTCAGGAAGCATTGGTTCGAATTGAAAAATGCATTTTGTGTTGTTTAGAACATTTATCGAGGAAAGCTATAAAACATCGCGATGCGATTTATAGGAGCAAAGAAAAAACGGGGAAAATTATTCATATTTCCGTTGCGTACGATACGAAAACGGTCCAAGATACCCAAAAAAATATGTATGAAAGAATGATTTCTCTTTATATGATCTAAAAAATTGTCCTCGAGAGAAGGTATATGTCTATCTTTTAGGATTAACTTTCAAGAGCGACGGGACGCGGGCGACGTCGTGTGTAACAACTAGTTTAATATATTCCGCGTTTTAAATCATAAAAAATTGTTTTATGTTAATTTGCACTCGAGTAAAGTAAGGACGATTTCTTATACATTTAATTAAGATTCTGTTTATAGAATCTCAATTATATAATACTTTATATTTTAACTAGAGCAGTGTTCAACTGTAAAACAGGGAGACTGTCTTGTCTCCCCGTGACCACGGCTGCTGCAAAGCATCCGAAACGTCGGGCCGAAGTTAAAAATCATTTTCAAATAAGTTTAACTAATATATCACGTTTTAAACCGTTAAAGTGTTTTATTTAAATGTGTACTACTCGTGTAAACTATAGACAGTATCTGAGTTTTTGTTAGTATTGCCAGATAACTAAAAAAAATAACTTTTTTGTTTATTTGAAATATCTTATTACTTAAATATAAAATCTTCTAGGCAGAGATAAAATAACGAATGTTATCAATCTTAGGCACAAAACACTATGAGATTTTGAGCTTTTCTAAAAAAACATATACGATCTCAAACCACGGATAACGTGTTACATATTTGTCTAACACATTCCGTTCCCTAGGTAATGGGTGGGCACATAACGTAGCTCTTACAAAATAGAGTGAAAGCGAAACACAATTAGGTTGTTATGGTTCAATGGATACTCACACAACACTACGAAGAGCGCGTGCTCCATGCCGGCTGGTCGCGAACAAACTGTTTAACTGTCCGTGGTGTAACTGTAGTCCGTGACTGCGTTACGAACTGCGTGCAAGAACCAGATTATGACTGCGTTATGGTTTTGGAGACTTGGATGATATGCGCTATCTTATTAGAATGAATTTTACGTATTGTCTGCTTTACGAATTGTCTGTAGTTTACGTCTAGGCCGGTTTGCAGCAACCGTGGTCAACAAAAATAGGTCGACAGTGCGGCATGGGTTATTACACCTTCTATAAAGTAAACCTAATGCTTGTCTGTAAAAACATTGATAAAGGTTCATAACGATTTGGTAATAGTACATTATGATATGAGTGCGGTAAGTTGAAAATTACAGCCGAGGCGATATTACTAGCCCGAGCCATCGGGGAGGGCTATAAGAAAGCAGAGGCTGTAATTTTCAAAGCGCACGTATGTCATACGACGTTTTATAACTTATTTACGAGGAAATGACGACATTTTCAAATAAAAACAATACAGCGAAAAGAAAAAGCGCGCGGAAATATTTTTACTTGTCTACACATAAGCGATGCGCGCGCATCAACGTTTCGTTTTAGGCAAATGTACAAAAACAGCCAGTATTCCTAATAAAGTAAATTAATATTTTTGTGTTTTTGTTAAAGATAAATGATTGTAATTTATTGTCAAAATTAATTAAATTATTTTTTTATTTATTTTATATTTAATTTCCCAAAGTTAATTTTATTCATAAAATATCGACCACTTTCTTGACAAAAAACCTCTTTGCTAAGATTTTTAAAAGTATTGTTCATTAAATACTGTCTATAGTTTACGTGAGTAGTACACATTTAAATAAAACACTTTAACGACATTCTAGTAATTCGTGATGAACACGGTAATATTGGGCATACCGTCTTTAGAAAAACAACCCATACAGATAGGTATTTGAACGGTGACTCACATCACCACCCCAGCCAACTTAGTTCTGTCGGAGTATCTTTGTTTCAGAGAGCCCGCCGTCTCTGTGATGCTGCCCACTTAAATGAGGAGTTACAGCATGTCAAGCAGGTCCTATGCAAGAACAAGCTGAGAGTCCCTCCGCAGCATCCCAGGAACAGGAATAAGCCACCCACAGTCAAACGTCAGCCCGCCTACCTACCATATGTGAAGGGAGTTACAGATAGAATTAGCAGAGTCCTAAATCGAGCTTCTATTGACACAATTTTCAAGCCGCACAAGAAGATTCAGCAATTCCTGAAACCAAGCAAGTGTACTATCCCTTTACAAGATGCAGGCGTTTACAGACTGGATTGTGATTGTGGCCTATCCTACATCGGCCAAACAAAGCGTAGCATCTCAAACAGAATTAAAGAACACGTCGCGGATATAAAACATGGCGCTAGCGTAGCAATTCTTTACTTTGACGTCAGAGACATCCTCCATCTTTAGTCTCCCCGTGACCACGGCTGCTGCAAAGCATCCGAAACGTCGGGCCGAAGTTAAAAATCATTTTCAAATAAGTTTAACTAATATATCGCGTTTTAAACCGTTAAAGTGTTTTATTTAAAAGTATTGTTCATTTTTAGACGGAGTATCTTAAAACTTTATATTTAAAAAAAACACGTGCTTTTTACATTACATTATCGCACAAGTACCTAATGAGATACATTACGATATTGAAAATGGTGTAATTACAACCACTTTACGAGCAAATATGTTATAAAAATAATCTACTTAATTTTTGTTATTAAATATCTTATATAAAATTGTTTTTGGTGTGTTTGTATAGATGTGTATATCTTTTTAAATACAAAAATTATAATATATATATCAGAATTTTACATAAAACTTGGTTGACTTTTTATATCTTGTCATTCTTAATGGTAAATTATGGTTATCGTACGTTAAATAAAGGGTTGCTCTTATTCGTCTAAACTCAAAACTATGTGTACATACTACATATTGTTTCTTACAATTTGTTACACGAAGGCAACGTAAAACGAAGATGAAAAAGGTTGATACTAATTTATTTCAATCCTCTTTGAACGACCATGTTGATAGATCAACTGACGTTACTCTCGATCCTGTCTTGTCTGGACTCGATCGGAAGTATAACAATTTACTGATATGTAAAACGTAATTGAAATCGTATTTATTCTTTTATCCAAAAATAAATAGTAAAAGTGTTATTAAAATGTTGTTTAGTGTTGATTTTTGTAAATTTTATACAATCCATTAAGTTCGAATTTAATGAAAGTATCAAGAAGGTGAGAAAGTAATTAATTTATTAATTAGTAATTTTTTAAATTATTAATTTGTAATTTTTTAAATTATTAATTTGTAATTTTTTGGACTTTATTGCTCGAGTTTTTACTCATAACTGGCCAAAGTTATTAAAAGAGTAACGTATCCATTAAGTACAAATGAAAAAATCAATGTGTAAGTACATAAGAATTCATCTTCAGGCACCTGTTATACCTAAGACAACTGGCTTTTATTCAAGACAAGTGTCACTTGGTACTTTAAGGCATCATGTAAGTAAGACAAACTAGAAAAGAAAAAATAATACTTCAATCAGCAATTACATATCTATACTAACTAGCTGTGCCTGCGACTTCGTCCGCGTGGAATAGTGACTTGGGATAGTATTTTTAATTATTTAGGCTGTTTATTAATTTCTGTAATTGCGCATTTATCGCAGCCAATCTATGTTGTAAGTGCTACTTTGCCGCAACACTCCCACCTCACATCACTCCTACTCTAACTCCCACTCTTATTCCTCCACTCACTTAGACATAAATTATGGTCTCGCGATGGTTTTTGTAGATATTGAAATATTCTATAATATTGTAGAACATTTTTTTGTCCTGTCATTAATACTTTTCGCAGCGTATGCGATGAAAGACATTTTATGGCTAATTTTTTAAACCACCCGTTGCTTTTGATAGACATTTCTAAATATTTCTGTCGTGATCTCGTGCTAAGTATACTCTTTGTTACTCAGTGATAATGTAGCTTTCTAATTAAAAAAATAATTATTTAAATCGTTCCAGTACTTTTTGAGTTTATCCGTTACGTACAAAAATACATATCTTTCCTTTTTATAATATGTATTAGTGTATATATCTGTTACCCACGATATTCGTATCCCGTCGTTCGGGTCAGTCTTGCAAGTTAATCTTAAAACGTCGCGGACTTTTTTTTGACCATTTAAAAAGTAATTATTCTTTAATACATAATTTTTAGGTATCTTGAACCGTTTTCGCAGCGTACGCATCTGAAACCTACAGAGATGATTTCACCGTTTTGTTAACATTTCTCGCTGTATCTTCGCTCCTATTAGTCACATCGCAATGTGTTATAATAGCCTATAACCTTCCTCAATAGATGTTCTAACTAACACAAAAAGAATTTTTCAATTTGAACCCGTAGTTCCGCAGATTAGCGCGTTTAAACAAACAAACTCTTCAGCTTTATATATTAGTATAGATATATAAAGCTGAAGAGTTTCTTTGTTTGTTTGAACGCGCTAATCTCAAGAACGACGGGTCCAAATTGGAAAAAATGGTTAGAGAATTTATCTATCGTATCATCGTCCTGTGACTAAGACAAGTGAAGTCACAGCGCAGAATGTGAAAAAATTAGGGAAATATATAAATTTAAATCATTATGGGTTTTCGAGGCATACGCTCAAAACGGTCGAATAAGGTATCAAAAAAATAGGTATGAGAAAATGTTTCCTCTTTAACTGATCTAAAAAAAAGTCCGCGACGCTATATATCTTCTTAAGCTTAACTTGCAAGAAAGACGGGAAGGAACGCGACCTACGTCGTGGGTAACAGCTTAAGTTGATAAATGGTTTGCAAAAACGAATTCGGATGCCCAAAATAAATATTCTTAGCGGACGAAGTCACTGCAACAACTAGTTTCCAATAAATACAAAAAGCCTAAATTCCTTTACAAAACATTAATTGGTACTACAACTTAGTGCACCTTTGAACGTCAACACAACTTATTTTCAGGTATTTATATATGGTCTCTATGACAAGTGGAAGCTTGATTATAGAGCATTTTGTACCGGAAGCATCATCAGGGAGGATAGGGTATTGACATCCGCACATTGCTTTTACACTAATAGGAAAAGGTTTGAAATTAATTATAACAAAATCTGGTAAACGTACATTACCAAAAAAAATATTCTTAATTACATGGATTGTTTATTCGGATAAATCCATGTAATTAAGAATATTTTTTTTGGTTCTTACTATTTTATATATACTGTTAAAAGTCGGCCTTTAACAGTATATTACAACATTAGTAACCTTTTCGGTCGGAGAGTGATCTGGGGGTCTGGATAAAATCGATGAAAAAAATGGGCACAGTAATTACTTTGTGTAAAGTCTAGTCCTGGAAAACGTGTTTTATTAGTATCTATTTTTTATTTTTAAGACTAAAGCGGAGTTTCGACAAGATTCGAGTGGTTGGAGGTATCCTGCACACAATAACACAACAGCCTTTTTCTCATGAGATCCAACAGTGGAGGAACGTGAAGCACGTATACTCGCAGCGTTTTTATAGATTCCCAGCCTTTAATCTTGCTATAGTTGTAAGTAACCTATGTCCATGACAAAGGCCTGCAAAATAAATCCCATGAACATGCCTTTAATAGTTTCCACTACTGGGACTATATTTATTATAATCTAGTCTTAAGCTGGACGTGCATCGCAATATGTGGAATTTTTGTCCCAAGACAGCCGGTTTCTTTACGAAGCTTTTCTACACATGACAGAATATTATATGTACCATGTACATAAAGATTGTTCGGCTTCTAGCCCTTTGATATATACTTCGTAATTAATCATAAGGTAACCGAATATTAAAAATGCAATATTAACCATTTTTCGTAGGTGCGCGGCGTCTAATGTTAGGTGTATATTTTGTTCACTTTAATTAACATACACATATTTTCATATGACGACTTAAATTATTAATAAGTAATCATTTTAACAACTCACTTTATTGGAAAAAAATTAAGTTGTTTGACTGTAACTCTATGCTTTGTTGCTCAGAAATGTCAAATATGTATTTTGATGACCTCACAAGTCGTTTTCAGGAGGTGAATACGAACTGGTTATTCAATCAGTTTGTTAATAAAATACCATACTCTCAGAAAAACTATGACTTCGACGGCGTATGTATGGGAGTCATATTAAAGACAACCAGGGTAAGCCTAACAGAAATAAAAAAAAACAATCGATAAGGAAGCGGGATTCGAACCTAAGTACAGCATCGTATCGTTCCGCTGTTCTAAGCGCTTTATGATTTTTGCGCTGTGAAATTTTAATATGTCCAAAAAAAATTAAGCCAACATATTAAGTATTTTTTGTTTTTCTTTTCAACCAGATTTTGATTTTCTTAACTCAAATGTCACTTTCAGAGTTGGTCGAAAGACAAAAGTCTCTTTACTACAGATTTGAAAATACACAGACAGAGACTGTGTGAACATAAACTTTTGAGAAGCTGTTGGCAATACTACTGCTCTGAATATGTTTCTGCATTGGCTTCCACTGTTAGTATATAGGATGAATATTAATAAACGAAGATAATAACACGTCTATGATACATAGATATGTAAATTTTATCGCTATAATTTGCAAAAATATTGTTCATATAAGTCAAATTGATATAAATAAAATAAATACTGTCTATAGTTTACACGAGTAGTACACATTTAAATAAAACACTTTAACGGTTTAAAACGCGATATATTAGTTAAACTTATTTGTCTCCCCGTGACCACGGCTGCTGCACCCGAAACGTCGGGCCGAAATTAAAAATCATTTCAAATAAGTTTATTTAAATAAAATACCATAATATATTGTACCTAGCTGTATTGTAATGTGTAATAGCATCAAAATTTATCTTTATAAAACTTCCACATCTTTATAAATTGTTATACACGCGTCCTGTCGTTCTTACTAACCTATCTTATAAGTTAAGATATACTGTCGCTAACATTTTTTTTTTAATTCAAGAGGAATTAGTCTTTAGTATATATTTGGATATAGAAAACATATTACTAGTTCAGTATTAAATGTCTTCCCTTTAAATAATCTAAAGAAATGTCTGCATGTGTAATTTTTACGATTAACTTCCAAGAACCACGGGACGCGTTCGAAATCATGGGTAACAGCTATAAGATATAAAGAGAGGATTAGAAGAAACTATTTTTGTAGCCCAAAAACAACTCATTTAACGCGGACCAAGTCGCTGGCATACCTATTATGTTGATAAAATTCGTTTCTTTGTAGGAAACGGAGGGTGGTGGTCTCGTTTGCTATGGCACGGGTGATCCAGCAGAGGACGAAAAGCTGGGAGTGTTAGTTGGTGTGACGTCACTTATTAATCAAAACCTGCCCAATGTTCATCTACGAATTGGTGTATTCCACAAATGGGTGACTGACAGTGGTGGAGTATTCCAATTAAATAGAATATTTTTTGTTGCATTTGTGTTTGTGATAATATATTGATCTTACGTATATACCTATATCGTGTTGTTTATATATTCTATAAACCTACGACTCAAGTTAAGACATTCTTTATATTTATAAAATTTATTTGTTTTGATTATGATATTATTGACTATTACCGTTTAACAATTGTTTCAACACAGGCGATGAAACGACTATCTGCTGTTGTCGCTAGAGAATTGAGCTTTTCCATACTAACATTAAAAATCATCAGAGTTTGCTTACTTTTTTGAATGCACCAATTTTAGGAGCTGCTACTTCGAATTAAAATAGATAGATCATTCATCTAAAACGATTATAAAACATCACGCTACCAACGACTAATAGGGGCGAAGAAACAGTGGAAAAAAACGGGGAAAACGGGGAAAATTATTCGTCTTTGAGTGCTGAAGAATGATTCTTCTATAATTTATAAAGATGAGGTTGTGCAAAAACAAAATGATGCTCCATACAACTTCTTCCACGCGAACGAAGTTGCTGCCACAAAGTCTATAATAACGATTCGCTTCACTTTTTTGTTACGAAGATCGATGTTACATGACCCGACTACTCTCCTGTCACTAGTATCAAAATAGAATCTAAACACTACCTTTTCTCTGTAGTCGGCGGTAGAACAATCAACTTGGATTGTTATCATTGTAGGAAAACGTTCCAAAGAAGAATACTATGCTTCAGATTTATTTAGGATTATTAGCAAAGTAAAACAAAATCAAAATAACAATTTAACGTATATTGTAAGTAATAAGATAGTTGGTAAAGGTCTACACACGTTGGATTCGTTTCTTTCAATGTATTTCGAGAAATATGAAACTCTAGTGAAGAAAGAACCTACCCCTTGTATTTTACCACTGACGATTCCGACCAATATTCCTCGACTACCTTCATTTGGATCCCCAGTCTTTGAGCATACTAGTGGCCCACCAGAATCACCCTAAAAATATATTTTATACATAAGTGGCTCTATTTAACAGAATGTTGACAAATGTGTCAGTTACATTATCTCTTTATAATTACGTTTGAACAAAAATATACTGACTTATAAAGGCTAGCTACCCAAGACCGGTTCGAATTCCAGTAATAATTGTTTCGGTATGGCAGGACACAGAAGTCTGATCAACTACTTGCCTATAAAAGAACTGATCGGTGAAACGGACTCAGATATGTCGTCGTCACTTGTACCATTGGGAGAAACAGGATTTAACTGTACCCAAGGTTTATTTTCTAATAGATACTTAGTACCTACCATTGATTACTTCATTTCATACATAGCTATACTTCAGTGTATATACGTACCTTGCCAATATCACTGGGCAAAGAGGACGAACACACAAATTTTCTCATATTTTTACGGAATCTTCTGTTGCATCGGTATATGGTCATAAGGTCTAAATGTGCCAAGAGGAGTTTACTTGAAGACTCCTTAAAGAAATGCATAAATATTACGTTAAGCGTTGACAGATTTTGTTTATAACCTAAAATAGGCACAGGCATAGACTAATCGAACAGGCACACCTTATATATATAATTAGTTATTTATGAGCCGTATCTTCGTCCACGTGGAAGTTCTAGAAAATCTTTAGGTAGCCGTTTCATAGAATTCCTTAGGCTGCCTCGATTTATTTATTTTACGAATTTAATTAGTACATCTGTCAGTAAAGTTCAGTGAAAATCGGTCTAGCCGTTTCGGAGATTAGCCGGAACAACAGACAGACAGACAATTTTTTTTAAAATGTAGTTTTGGTATGTGTACCGTGTATACATCCATATGCATTTAGTAAAAAGCGGTTATTTTAATGTTACAAATAGACATTCAAATTTTATTTATTTGATTGTATTGTATGTATGTATAGATGACTGATGAAATGGACACATTTGCCCTATACCTCACGTAGGAAGTAGGGTTCAGTTTTATCGTCCGTGGTTTATGAATTGGAAAGAATAAGATTTTATTTTTGTATATATATAGAGGACGACATACAAGGCTCACTTATTGATAGGCAAAATGCCCCCGGTCATATTATATCTAAACAAAATGTGCTGTCTACCTATTTTAGTGTTGGATATTCAGTAATCCACAGAATGAAATCAAATTGTAATTACATTTGCCTCATCTTTTAATCACGGATTTCACATATAGAAAATCGGCTGAATATGTTATTCCTATAAACCTTTAAGTATTTGAAGAAAAGAACAGTTTGTAAGACTAATTGTAAGTTAAAGACGATGTACCTTTTTCGATATACGCCCATATCCGGATACTAAACATTTGCCATTGTAGTCGGTAAATCGAGTTGCAATCGGAATGTCACTAACGTGGTCGTTGTATATGAAGGGCTTTTCTATAAACTGTAAAATGTAAAGGGAAATATCGTTAAAATTAACTCCATGCACGTGTGTTAGTATGACTTGTTACGTCTTTCGATGTGCATACTATATCGATTATACTTAGAATTAAACATTTTCTTTGTCTTAAGTTCTTAATAATTGATTCACTGTATCTGATGTAATAGTCGGCAGTTAGCCAATAAACACGGGAACAGCGCGGTGGGTCAAAAGTTATACCCTTTAGTCGTGGGACATAAAAAAATCAATCGAGTCGAATCAATATGTTTACAGTGTATATCATGTATTACTTAAAAACTGCGATAGGGGTCGCTTTTATAAATATAGGTAATTTGTTTGAAAACAATTTATATACATAATAATAATACTTTACCAGTATCGCAATATCATCTTTAGGAAACTTGTAAGTTTTGGGGTATTTGACTGATTTGATCGTCCTCCATTGCCCTTGTTCTGGCGAGTCACTGCTGAAGAAATCGTAATTTCTTAAATTCCCAGCAACAGCGTAGATGTGAGATAACGCCCTTTTAGACCTACAAAAACATATCCTTTTATATATAGTTTAAGCATTCCTTAAAATAATTATTATGTTTTTACCCCTGAGAGCCGCAGATCTTTTGACAGAAATTCTGATCCTTTGCGAAACAGTGAGCAGCGGACAGTAATTTAGTTGGAGCGATGATGACTCCTCCGCAAAATGTCATGTATATCTTGCCGCGTGGTAATTTCGTTTTGAAAGCGACCTGAAAGAAAACGTCATATTATGTTATAAAGAGTAGACCTAAGAGTTAGTAATCTACATCTTTAAATATTCATCACATATTTCTTATAATGCATATCTTTTAATTCAATAAGAAGTCATAGAGTATATGGAAACTTTAACAGTTTAAAAAATATTTGAACTACGGCCCGACGTATCGGATGCTTTGCAGCGTGTTGCAACAGTCGTGGTCATGCTATAATAATATATATCGCGTTTTAAATCATTAAAGTGTTTTATTTAAATATGTACTACTCGCATAAACTGCATGGCACCTGATAAGGAGCATCTCCAAGTTTAGCTGGCCATCCATTTACAACCCGAGGAACGAACTCTTCATAATCGAAATATGGTGCTTTCACTGATTCTGATGATGCATCCACAATTCTTACAAGGAATAAAAGTAAAAAGTAGAGCTGTACAAACATTGAAGAGATTTACAAAATAAAACTGTGAACGGTGTGTGACATGACAGCTTACATCAAGAAAATATATTTACAGGAAACGCAACAATTCATTTCATAATTTCTTAAATTACATAGTATTTTTGATCTCTGGTCGGTTCTCTAGTAAATGACTTTAATGATCTTTCTATCAATTTGGTGCCAATTCTAAATAGTACCGAGTGCTGGAGAAACATCTCTTCTTATTTTTTAATTTAATCTTAAAATGTGAAGACTAAAGATATGTCGAATTATTTCCATGAAAATATACTGTGTCATACTCATAAATATTTTAAGTCTGGATTTATCCATTAGTAGAGAGGAAATTTTTCGCGATGTAGATGAAAGGCGAAAATCTACTAATCATGTATTGGATTTTGGGGTTAGTAAAAGTTAATTGTTCTGGGTGCACTTATAACGATAATTATCTTTAAGAATTTTTATATGTACCAAACATTTTTAATAATTATTTCTTACAGACGATCATAAAAGAAAATGCCGAATACAATACTGTTATAGATTTGTGTCCATTGAAAATACTCGGAGGAAACGAGGCAGATATTACACAAATTCCTTACCAAGTACGCTATAATTACTAACTTTGCATTTGCTGCTATTAAACACATTACAATACTATGAATATTCAGTATAACGTAACTCTGATAATAAATCAAACGTTGATTGGATCTTAATACTTCCACTAAACCTTTTCATTCAATTAACGAAACGGTGGATCATTAAATACAACAGCAGTTGTCGCTCTTACATTAGCAATTATCAATATAAATAAAAATTCTGATAATCGTTTGAATATCGTGGCTCGCACGTCAGTTACCACTGCTTCGAGTCCTAATTTGTATCAATGAATTTATGTTCTTATTTCACTACCAAGACACGAAAGGGCAAGATTTTAATACGCCATATTAGTGTTTATGGAGGGGATAGACAAGCTTGGCGTTCACTTGGCGAAGGCGAAATATCCCAGCCATATAACATCTAAGCAAGATAAGCTGACCAATTTTGGCTTTGGATATTTTAGGTAAACACGACAAATTAGCTACGTCATCAACTTGAGAGCGAATGTTTAAACAGTTACCTACAGGAATAAATAAATTTGGAAAAATTTAGATTGGCCTATAAAGATATTTTAATTTGAACGCAGGTTGCTCTCCGACAGCGAAATTGGTTTGGAATCACTTGGTCGTCGTTCTGTGGTGGATCTTTGATAACGCTGAGATACGTTTTGACAGCTGCGCACTGTTTTATCAATTCAGAGTAATACTTGAACATGTATAATTTGTATTGGTTGAATATTTTGTTTTCTTATGACAGGTGGAATACCACCAGCTATAGAAAATCAAACCCGTCATAGTTCTATGTAAGCAATCTATAAGGGCTAGCCTCATTTATTTAACTAATATTCTATAACTAAGTATCATTTAAGGCGGTTGTATTGTGAATACAACTAATTAAAAAAATATTAAAGTTCTCGTTTTTACTACTTGTATAGTAACTTAAAATCTTAATACATTAGCGAAGGAAATATGAAGAATCTGAATAATGTAAGGGTCGTGGCTGGAACCACAGACAAGACAGTAACAGTGATCTTATCGAGACCAGCCTCTGAACATTGGAGACGAATCAAGGGCTTCTTTAAACATCAGCATTACAACCATACGTACCTTAAAAACGACATAGCTATACTAGAGGTGAGTGTTTTAAAGTATAACAAAGCGCGAATTTGTATAATTCTAAGTTTAAATAAAACACTTTAACGGTTTAAAACGCGATATATTTGTTAAACTTATTTGAAAATGATTTTTAACTTCGGCCCGCCGTTTCAAAACGTTTACTTTACTGTTTACTGTACTACTCGCGTCAACTATAGACAGTATATAATTCTTAGTTACTTAATGTAATCATCAAGCCTATTTGATATTTTCTTATAGGTCACGAAAGATTTTATATTTACTGATACAGTTCAACCCATCCGCTTATATTCAGCTAGGGATGGGAAAATATCTTCGAAAGACCTGTGTCAAGTATCGGGATTTGGATTGAAAGAAAATGTAAGTCAGTAAAATTACTATAGGTACATTATTTTTATTCAACTACGTAGTTACGTCCGTAGTTTTCGCTTAGTACACTCAAATAAAACACTTTTTGACGGTTTAAAACGCGTAATTATTGCTTCTAAAGAGGATACATGTATATACATGAAACGTCGGACCATAGTTAAAGTAATAAATTTTAAATCAGTAAGTAATGCATTTCACGTTTTAAACTGTTAAAAGTGTGTTATTTAAATGTATTTTTATGTCCATATTTTACAACTTACAGGATACATCATCACGAAAATTGGAAATGGTTTGTGTTCCAATCCTATCTCAGATGTTTTGTGAACTATACTACAGCGTACGATATTTGCATACTTCTGTTATCTGCGCAGGAGCAGAGGGAAAGGACTCTTGTCAGGTATGGCAATGTAAAATACCTCTAAAGGATAGTGTTCACTTTAAATAATATCATTGCTGTCAAAAATACAAAAAAGTAAGCATACTGAATAAGTAGCATACATGCATTAAAAAAAGGAGCCAAAGGCGGTCAACAATTTTCGTAAGATTACATTGTTTGAAAATTAAATAAATATGAGATTTAAGTAATCTATTTACACTGTTATATACAGGGTGATTCAGGTGGTCCATTGGTGTGCCGTGGTGTCCTAGTTGGAATAGTTTCTTGGGGCGGCATTTGCGGAAGACATCCAGGCGTTTACACCCGAATATCACACTATACGTCGGGGTATAATGTGCCTTTTGTGAAAAATAAATCGTATACTAGGACCCTAGAGAATCGTTTAATAATAATTTTATTGTTTGGAAAATATTTATCTTCTATCTTGTTTACAGAATGTAAGAATTATATATGTGAAATCGTTAAAATTATTTCTATTGTTTTATTGTAGCGCCATCTATGTTGGATATGTTAGTAGTGCAAAGAATGTACGGACATTTGAATTAGTTCCGTATTTACAACATAGATGTCTCTTATAACAAATAATATTAAATTGTAACTTTATTTTATCATTCTACATAATTATATAAATAAAAAATATATATCATATTATGTTTGATATAAATGCGCGTTGCTATTATTCTATTTTTAAAAATTTGATAAGGGTGTTACCAATTAAGCTTAATTGCAACACATTATATGAAGATAACCGAGGTTTTTACTACTTAGTCATTTGAAATTCTTATTATCCTAATTCTGGCTTAAAAAGAAAACACTAAAGGTTTTAAAGTGATCTCAGACAATCTGCATTAAATATCAGGTATTTCGTTACCGTCTTACTAGCTCCCTCTGAGACAGGTACCGGAACTAAATCCATAAATTATAACTTCCGCTAGTTTACACTGAGATGGATGCGTCGTTGTACACTAGGAGATTTTGGAACTTGGTATATACCAATATATATCTTAAAATATAACTCTCCAAATACTGAGAAGGAATTATCATCACTTTTCCAATAAAAAGTTTTCACCACTCACTGGGTATACATTCAGAATAAAAATAAATTATTACCAATCTTGGATTTATCCAGCAAAAAAATGTACTTAAAATGAGTGAGTATGTAACTTCAGATGAATCCATTTCAGAAAATATTTGCTTATATAATATTATTCATACTAATACATAGTAGCTAAAAACTTTGAATAAGTAACCTTATAATAGTGACAATTTAAATACAATATAATATATATCTAAACAAATGAAATTCACAATTTGAGTTCCAGTCTATGGATTTTTCGAATGTCCAACGCCAAAAGAGGTTTACAGCGACGTAATGGGGGTGTTAGCTTTTAGCAAGGTGACCACGTCTTGTCTGTCGTCCCAGAGTCATTTATTTTTTTTTTTTAGTTCATATTACTAAAAATTATGCGTAATTAACTATTTCAGACTTAAGTAACTATGAAGTACAAATATATATTATAAAACTATAAATTTTATAATATTTTATGGGTATTAAAACTAAACGCTTTTTAAAGCGTTAGACCCGATTCCCCCGTAACGACGGCTGCTGCAAAGCATCCGAAACGTCGGGCCATCGTTAAAATTAACTAATACATATCGCGTTTAAAAATGTTTCATTTAAAGTAATGTTTAAGCTAAGTTAGTTCAATATTACAATCGGTTAAACTCTCATTTACACTTAGTGATATGTGTTATTCTATTTGCAATTAAAATATGTAAAATAACGATTTAACCAATCACCCTGTGTGTACGCGACCCTTCGAAATCTCGGCAGGTATTGTCTTGAGATTCGCATTTAATTAGCACGACCTCAGGCTGATGCACTGCCCGGATATTAAGACACGCATTGCTAATTACTTCGCTAACTGACGGGTTAGTTTCGTGATAATTTATTAACTCCGTGAGAGAGGAAATTAATCTACAAGTTTCTTAGATCTTGATGCTGTAAAAGTGTAATACAGATGCTTTAACACTTTAACGGTTTTTAACTTATTTGAAAATTATTTTAGCTACAGCCCGACGTTTCGGATGCTTCGCAGCAGTCATGGTCACGGGGAGACCACCGATGGATGGATTTTTATTAAAGTTTAACTAATATATATCGCGTTTTAAACAGTTAAAGTGTTTTATTTACATGCTTACTACTCGGGTTAACTAGGTACAGATATTAAAACACTTTAAAACTAATATTTCGCGTTACGATAAAAAGTAGATTATTTAAATTTATTAGTAGGTACTACTTAGTCGCGTAAACGAGAGTCATTACTTAAATTACTATAATAAAATAATATCTACGTTTTCTGTTACAATTGATCGCTCAGTGAAATCGGCATGCGTTTAGTTGTAGCTGTCTTACAAGATCCTACTAATTAGGTCTGCTAAGTTAGACTAGTTGGAAACCAGGAACTAATTAAACGATGTTTCCCATCTAGTCCACTTGACTTGTACTAAACTTGGTATACACTTAAATTACTTTGTTAACTTAACAAAACTTGTAAAAATTTCCCTTACATAGCTTTTGACATTTTTTTCCACTTTTGTGACTTATTGTTGTATGTATTAAATAAATATTGTATATAATGATTGTTAAAGGTGTTGAAAAACATTGAAAAAGTTTTCTGTATCTTTCTGTGTATTTCATAATTATCCTTTAAAAAAGCAAGATCATGGATTTTTTTTTCAGCAGTGTGTCTAAATAAAACTAATTTACATTTACAATCTAAGAAATTATATGATAATGGAATTTTAGTAAATCAAAAATGGAACGATTTTTGAATAATAAAGGAACACACTTTTACCGATCTAAAACGAAAAATTTGTTAATATATTTACAGTACCTACTTATATTTAAATTAACTACAGCTTGACGTAAAGCATCCAAAACGTCGGGCCGTAGTTAAAATAAATTGTAAATTCGTTTTTATCAATTCATCAATCGTTTCATTTTTAATTTACTATATACATATATAATATAATTCCTTAAATTGTAAATATGTTTCCTGTTATATGCTTCTGAATAATATAAGCATTATAAGTACAGTGCTAAACACATTAAGCAACACATCAATGTCAAAAAACACAAAAAGCTACTCCAGTCGAACATTAGAACTTGAACAGATGTGGTACAATACTTCGTTATATTACGAACCACCCGCTTCATAAAATATGCACCTTTGGATAATGCAGTTATCATAGTGTTATAGGGCATATCGACAAAAAATATTTCAATTTTTATATTTCTCATTTCAGTTTAAGTGGTTGGTTTTAAATATTGTCTATAGTTTACGCGAGTAGTACACATTTGGATAAAACACTTTAACGGTTTAAAACGCGATATATTAGTTAAACTTATTTGAAAATGATTTTTAACTTCGGCCCGACGTTTCGGATGCTGTGCAGCAGCCGTGGTCACGGGGAGACTAAAGATGGATGGATGGCGGCTGCTGCAAAGCATCCGAAACATCGGGCCGAAGTTAAAAATCATTTTCAAATAAGTTTAACTAATATATCGCGTTTTAAACCGTTAAAGTGTGGTTGGTTTTAGTTGCCTTTATATTTTATTGAGTTCATTATTATATTATACAACTAAATTGTGATATCCAAACTAAGTTAAGTATAAGAAGATGAGTAATAACAAATTATAAAAATAAACAATTATATGAATGGTAAGCTAACTCTCAGTAGGCCTATGTTTTTAGATTTCGACGGGTGCGTTCGTCTAATGGTAGTAATGTATAGTTTATAATCAACGGGACGTGGATTCGATTCCCACTAGGTCTAACATGATTGAAATAATTAATATTGTATTTCTCAAACATGTTGGACTTCGTCCGGATAGTAAATGGGGGGTAAGAATATCAAAAGTTCTTTCCGGGTTACGAAACACCGCCCACAGAAGAGAGTGCAAAGTGAGCAGTGAACTATAATCACGTTTCGATTTCAGTCTGTGGATTCCTCCTCAAAAACGAAGTAGTTCGACAGCGCATCATGCTAAGATGGTACGTGGCTGTGGTATTCCACCTAACATCAAGTTAACTCCATGTTCTCCAACTCTATCCTTAAAAATGATTCAAAACAAACGTCTAGTTATTTTATTTTATTGTGCGCTACACACTGCACAACGTGTAGGTCATATGGCCTTTCAAATATACTTTTTAATCTCAGTTAAAGGTTACACTACGTGGCCATTAGGTACATACTAGCTGTGACAGCGACTTCATCCGCGTAGAATAAATAGTATTAGTTATTATTTTAGTGATACAAATTTGTTTTTTAAACCTCCTCTTACCTACGACGTCGCCCGGATCCGTCGTTCTTGCAAGTTAATCTTATAAGATAGACATATAGCGTCGTGGATTTTTTTTTAGATCAATTAAAGAGGAATCATGCTTTCATACGTTTTTGCAGCGTACGCATCAAAAACTCGCAATGATAAATATTTTTTTAAATTTTATCACGTTTTCCACTGTTTCTTAAACGCTCCGTTCCGCTTCGAGCCTTTCCCGTAAATTCTCAAACGAACACAAAAATAATTGTTCAATTCGAACAAGTAGTTCCCGAGATTCTAGAAGTAAATGGGTCAACAAGAAATTGTTATATCACGGCGATATGGCCAATATAACGCGCCTGTCAGTTTCGGAGAGTTTCTATTGTTTTGCCAATCCAGTCCTCCCCGCACAGAAGTGACCATCTGAATAGCTTGGTGTTTAAAAGCTATAAAGAGTGGGCTACTCGAGCCATTACAGGACCAGCGCTTATTAAAAATGTGGCTGGAATATCAAATTGCTATCTATCTATTGTTCGCGACCCTTGAATTGCAACTCGCCCTAACAAAGTGCAGTACTAAGTGTACAGAGTATTTTTATACAGAGGATATATTATTATTATTTATAACGTGTCTACGAACACAACATTTTCGTTTAAATTATTTGTTTTACCTG